AGGCATCTATCTATCCGATATCAGACGCTTTATATAGTAGTTGACAGTTTCGTCAATCCTCTATGCCCACGCTAATAAGGCACCCATCACCGCCTACCTCTGCTAAGTGGCGCTTGGGATGTTCCGGTTGTGTGTGTTGGTTTGGGAGATGGTGGGGAAGGGGGGGAAGTTGGGGGAGGGGGGTTGACAAACCTACCCATCCACATAGCCCAACCCACACCCAGCTCACCCCCGACGGCGATGCACTCATCCACTCTCAGATAGCTTCATCCGAGACCTCGATGTGTTGCATGGGTTGATAGGGGGTTGTGCTGGGTGCTGGGGGGGTTTATATGAGGTGTGACGGGAGGCGGGGGCTGGGGGGAGCGTGGGGGTCGGGGGGGGACGGGTTCTATGGCATGGTATAGTCCAAGAGTCGAGGATGAGGTAGGAGGTCGTCCGTCTGCGTTGAGTCTCATGGTAAGGAAGGGATATCACTCACCTCGGCTACATGCATAAATAACGTCTTCAACCCTCAACCAACCACACGGCATACCATCTAACAGATGATACGATATTTAAATTGCTTCTGATGCGGCGGGAAGAGAGTGTATGTGGATCTGTGGTGGGCGTCTTGGTATGCATATCGGGATAGGGGAGGGGTTGAATGGATGGGGTGCTAGTGGTAGTGAGGGCGGCGAGGCGGTTAGAAGGGATGGTGAGAAGAAAATGCGGCGGCGATGGCGATGCAGTGGTGATAATAGCAACAGCAGCAGCAGCACGCACTCACAATCTAAGATTGATTACAATCCAAAACCAAGATCGGCGCACCGCTCTGAGAAGGAATGTATTCTCCCGTCTAGTGTTTTAATTCGCTTTTGTGGTAGTGATTCGGAGGGGGTCTGGATAGCTTCAGTCAACCGCTTTTATAGGGGATGGGAGAGAGGGTTGTAGACTTACCTGTCAAAAGGGGAGGGGATAAGGTGGATACAGTAACACTCGCTTCTGCCGCGTTGTATTTCAGGGGCCATGGGGATGTTATTTCATCTCCTCGCCTCATTCTTTTCCATCGTACAGTATATAAGCCCCACAGTAGACGAAACAAAAAGGTACATCCAACATGATGGAGGACAAAGCCCAGAAAAATAGCGATCTTGGTTTGACTGGTTCAGATTCCAGGGAGGATGGCTCCTGGTGGTGAGGGCGGTGCTGCGGAGACGGGATGGTGGGTGATGGTGACGGGGTGGTGGTGACAGCGGCGTAGCATGACGACGAGATATCCTCCTTCGGACAGAAATCCACCATCCACACCACCTTCCCACGTTTTTCAAAATCAAAAACGCAGCAGCCAACCAATATTTCGAGGTGAGACGACTCGAAAACTCATGTTAGCCCATAGCCCAAGATCCCCTCAACTTTTGAGACAACGGTGTGTTTATACAGTTTGCGAGAAAGGGTTTTGGGATAGCATCCGGGAGAGGGTGGGGAGGAAAAAGGGGGGGACAAGGAGGATGAGATCCAGAGATGCAAAGTCAAACCTCACAAGTCTATTGCGGATTGGGGATATTCATCGCCTTTATCCCCTGCGGCCTATAGTATATACCCCTCTCCGCCCGCCCCACTCTGTAAGCACAAACGGACAAATAAACGAAGATGCAACTTCGATTAAAACCCTGTCTGGAGAGACGGGGGTGTGAGCGCTGTCTGTGCGAAGGGGTTGTGGACTGCATATCTCCAGATGGGTTGTAGACACGAGAGGTGAGATAGAGAACCGGTGGTGGGAATGGGTAGTGACATCATCATAGCACGGTGACGAGAGGGCTTGGGAAGTCAAGTAAAGATGATTCGAGGGGCTGGCTAGGGTGATGGGGTATTTGATACCTTGCGTTGAGATTTCTTCGACGACACCCTTGTATTGATTCCCAGTTGCTTCGGAGTTGCCGATGGCGGGTTGACAGTCTCGACAAGGGAGGTTTATATAGAGAGTGAGAGAGGATTGTGGTTTATCTCTCGGGGCTGTGCTGGCAGGATGCACACTAATGCCCCCTGATTACTCTATATGTTCTTAAAGTATCTTGATAACAACAACTCGTCACCTCCTTTACACCCTGCCTAATATAATATATATACCCCACCTGCCAACCCTCGGTCAGTAATCACAAGCAGGAAAAAAACGAGATGATCGAAAAGTAATGGTGTCTGTGGTGCGGTCTGAAGGGAGAGTCTGCGGCAACTACGTGGGAGGGGTTGTGGGTTAGATGGGTTGTTGATATGTGGAGGGTGAGAGGAGAACCGGTGGTGAAAGGGGGGTTGACAGCAGCAAAGCACGGTGACGAGAGGGGTTGGCAATTCAAGATGATGATATGCGGTTCTGGTTGAAGTAGAAAGGGGGGGATGACATGCTGTATTGTGACTTCTTCAATAGCGATGTTTGTTTTCAGTCAATGAGACGAGTTAATAGCATTTTAATCTTCATCAACTAGGGGTTTATATGGAGAGTGAAGGTGATTGTGAATTACCACTCAGGATGGGGACGTTGTGGTATACAGAAACGCGCATTTCTGAGAAGTAGATACGTTAAGTGACTCGCGGGCTATAAAGAGAGAGGCGGAAAAGGGGATGGGGGATAAAGGGGGGTGGAATATATTACACCCCAAACCACCCCTTTAGTAAATATAAACAGAAACGTGAAAAAATACGTCCTTTCATTGGTGTGTATTGCGCTGTCTGGGGTGGTGGGATGCGAGTAGTTGCTGATGGGGGTGGAGGGAGTATGGATGGCTAGCTGAGGATGGGGTGTTCATAGTGTGTGATATTTGCTTAGTTATCAAAAACGAGATTGGGGAGCTGGCATCATTATGGCCTAAGCTCCGGCAGCAGATAGAAAATACGATCGTCATCTCCCCAGAGCGCAACGGCCTCTACCCGAATGCGTGACAATAGTTACAGCGGCAAGAGCGACGGTGCGGTAGGCGGCGGTGGTGGTGATAGGAGCAAGGCGATGACGAGATTTCAGGGACGGTGAGAGGGTAACGGTGGTGACAGCGCCACCATCACTCTCAATCACACACCAAGCCTCTGCGCGTTGGCGTGGTTCCAAAACAAGTCAGTGGCGTCAAATTTCCCCCTTAACGTCTTCAGCTCGTTCGCGGCGGCATCCGCCTCCTGTTCCAATGCAAATGTTTTGTCTCGTCAGCTTGTGAATATGTTTCGTCGTCTTTAAGGATCAGACGTGTGATTCTCGCGTCCATGGCCTCTCCTAGACGGTAATAGAGCCTCAGTCTGAGATTTCTAAGTTCGAGATAGAGATATTAGGAGAGAACATTCTCGGGGAGCAGGATATTATGACCCTGTCGTTGGCATGAAACATACCTAGTGCTGCATTTTTCTATAGCTGACTTATTTGGTTGGATTGGACGGAGGTTGATCAAACTATCTTTCTGGGAAGGCAAGCTGGCGGGGGTGATGAGAGGAAGGTGGGGTGGGATATAGAGGATTGATAGTTGATGAGAAGTGCGGGGGTAGGTTAGAAGGGGCGCGGTGTGATATATATGATCTGATATCCCCTCCACGTGTCCGGTGGGAAGTGGAAAGGGGGAAAGGGTATCACTTAGCTCGCCGGTGGGTATATAAACACCTCCTTTCAGCGTGTAAACGGGACATAAACCACAAAGAGGAGAATGTTACTATCCAAGTGATTTCCGCTGCTCTGTCTCTCGCCAAAAGAGGAGGTGGTGCGAGCAGTAGTTGTGCGTGATGAGTTGTGGTCTCTGTTCCCAGCTAGTCGATGGGAGAAGGGTGGTGACACCAAGGCGTCGGTGACAGCAGTCTAGCGGTGACAAGCAACGGTGACAGCAGCTCTCGTAACTGGGTTGGAGATTTCCACGGTCCCGAATTGCCATCTTCCCTTCTAGGCATTGCTGTACACGGTATGAGCACGGCTTCTTCGCATTGTTGTCATCAATAGGCCGGACAGCTTGCCTGGTGGATGCTTGCTGGTGTGATGTGTGGAATAGATGGTATTTAAGCCTTTTGGATGAGCGTAAAAGAGACGGCAGGGTATCTCTGTAGTTCTTGATCTATATGCACACCTCTATCATCCCAACTACCCCTTTCACCTTGGGACAAAGTGGCTCATAGCTCATTCAGCAGCCTTTATTGCCGCCATCTTCGACCTTTCCTATCAACCACGCACTATCAAAAGGAGGAAACGTCCGATGCTCGACTCCTCGGGTATAGTGTAGCTTTTGAGCAATCATTGGACGAACTCATCGATACAGTGAAGAAACCACCCGATCCCCCCCATCGTCCCTTACGACACCAAAACCCCCTTCCTACTCCCGCATCGTAGCAGTACCTCCCATGTGCCCACTCACCTACTATAAATCCCCCAACGTATCCAGAGCGTTTATGAGAAACAAATTCCACAACACAATACAATTGAGCGTAAGAGCCTGTGTCGCTGTCTCGTGAGTGGAGCTGTGAGTAGCAGCTATGCGCGAGGGTTTCTAGTATCTGTTTATCTGCTTGCTAGTATAGGAGCCCATATCGATGAGGGGCGACGCGATGTTGAGATGTTTCGACCGCTTTACCATGAGATACTGCCTGATATAACTAGATCTCGACGAGATTCCGATCTGCAGACAGTACGTGAATTTAACTATACGGCTTCTCCTTGGTGATGCTTTTCAGCCCGTACGGTGACAACAGCGCAGCGACAGCAAAGATGGAATGACTACAGGGGCTGGTGGTAACGAGGGATATAACGGTGGTGAGAAGGCGTACAGTTCCCCTCTAGGCCAGCACAACAGTCACGTATTAGCCAGCCCAGCAAGCTGCTTGTATTTAGAACATTCCATGACTAGAAGAAGTAGGATGTCAGAATGTGGTTCGATGCGTGGAGTAATAATGTTTGAAACGTCTCTTTTATAAAGACGACACGGAACGCTGGGAATGCCTCTGTATTTCTCGCTGATATGCATACAAATAGCCACCTCGCTCACCCATACCACCCACCATACTCAATTCCCCTCCCCCTCACCACTCCCCTTATCCCCCCACCCCTCATACCAAACCCCCATATTCCCCGCCACCAAAAGATCCAACATCTTAATCCCATCCCCAAACACAATCAACTTCCCCAACTTCGCTCTCCCCCCCGCCCTCCCACCCCCCGCTTTCTCTCTTCCCAACGACAAATCCGCTCCGCTATCCCTATCCCCGCCATCCTCATCACCCGTCCAAGAGCTCTCGTGAGCTAGATAATTCGACGGCGCGTGCAGTGGTGATGAAGGTGCACTCTTCGGCCTGGCACGTGACTGCGGTCGTGGCAATGGCAACGCCCCTGGTAGCGTTCCGGGTATCCTGCTCCCCCTTTCCCCATGCCTGTCGCCGTGTCTGTGTTTCGGCCGAGCAAGCCCAAATAGAGAGGTAGTAGGGGTGTTATACCGCAGTTCACTCACAACCACACCCTCCACTGTCGGCTCGCCCTCCGCGTCTACAGCGGGGAGCTCGTGTGTGCACCTCAGCGCGCGACCCGACGGCGCAGTAGCGAAAGTGCAGGGTGTTGACCATGGGGAGGGAAAAGTGTAGGCTTGTGCATCTTTGGGTTGCGGTATTGGGGCCTGATCGGAGGAGTGGGTGGAGAATGCAGAGTGGCCTCGCCGGTGCCCGCGGCGTCGCACAGCTGTCACGGGTTTATCGGTGTTGATCTCCCGTTTGAAGTCCCCGGGAGGGCTGCTGAAAGTGGTGTACCCGGGTGTGGTGAGGGTGACTACCACTGAGGGGGTGGAGCGGGGGGAGATAAGGAGGGAGCCGATGGTCCATTGTGCACCTGTGGGGGGGTCGCGCCGGATGAGGGTTATGGTGTAGGGCTCTGTTGCCTTGAGGTGCGTGGGTGAGTGGTTGTTGGGTGAAGTTGGGTTGGTGGGGAAGAGGGCATCTGCCCGGCCGCGAGCTTGGGAGGTAGCTGCTGCTGTTGGCGTGGTTGCTTCTGGGTATGGCCGCGGTGGGAGGAGAGGCGCGTTTTCCTGTCCCTCCGTGGCTGGGACGGCGGCTGGAGTAGCCAGCGAGCGTGGGCGCGGTCCAAGAGGGCGGCGGGGTGGTGCTAATGGTGGGGGCTTGAGAGGGAGGGCGGATATCGGGTCGTTTAGTGGGCGGCGCGGGGGCTTGGGAGGGGGCGAGGAGGGATGTGGCGGGTCGAGGGGACTGACAGTTGGGATGGCGGCATCGGGTGGGGGTGGTGCTGCAAGATCGGTGGTGATGGGTGCGGAAGACTTTGGAAGGGGTTTCCGCGCGATATGCGGCGTTGGGGGGTGCACGGGGTGAGTGGAGAGGTCGACAACCAGGGCCGCGTCAGAGGGGACGTTGCGGTGAAGGTAATACAGGCAGGAAGCGACGTCGAGCTCCTTGAGGTTCTTCAGGTCTGGCTTGAGGGGCGTGAGAATGACATCTGCGAGAGTGTTAGTAGGGTTTTATGGAAGAAGACTGAGGGGGGTACCTTGACTGCCAGGGACACGTGCTATGTATAAGACCAGAGGGTCACGTTTTGGCTCTGAGGGGTTTCGGGGGTAGCGGGGCGGGTTGGAGGCAATTTGGAGGAGAGATGAGAGGGACTGTGCCTCTACAGGCGGATGCATCCTGGAGGTTTGCTATATGAGTGTTTTCGTAGGTGTTGTGGTGAAAACAGCTTCAGTCGTCGTGCCAGTCCCCGATTTTCGGTACCGTTTTGTGATAAATAAATAAACAAAACCGCTCTTAAAAAATGCCGTAATTTGTGATTCTAAAATCGAAAACTCGTCGCTGATCAAAAAGTGATCTACAAATGCAACAAAGGGAATAAAGAGAAGAAATATATATTTTTACAGAGTATGCCAGATCTAAAGTTGGACAATGTCGACGCACAGCTTGAGGCTGAGCATACTAAACCAACTAACAACAGGTTTGGGGGCCTGTTGTGTTGGCATGCCTCAAATATAAGGCCACAATATAGCGGAGTGAAATATTTTGGCGGGCGCACTAACGAAATTCGAGATCAGTTTAGTTTATCGGTGAAGAACGCTGCACGAGCGGACGGAAAACGGCATCACCCAACTGCAACCTTACTCGAAACTTTTGTTAATCGAGGAAGATCTTGCTGGGACCGACAATTCTTTTGATATTTGCCCATTCCAACAGCGATTTCACAGTTTTTGACATGGCAGATAGCTCATTGCAGGTTTGTACTCGCTTTTCCCCGCCATTTTTTTCAAACCAAAAAGTTTCGGGGTTCTGATGATTGTGTCGCAATATAGGATCGCCTGCGTGACCACGCCAAAGCATTCGACGGATTGCTCTCTCTGATTCCCGCAAAGTACTACTACGGGGAAGATAATAGCGTATGTCAAATTCTCCGCAAACTTTCTCGCAATCCGAACCTCGTCTAAGACCAAACTACAGGACCAATGGAAGAAGAAGAAGCAGACTAAAGAAGAAGCCGCCGCTGCCAGGCGCGCAAAGTTAGATCCGGATTCTGCAAAGAGCGCAAAGGACGTCATGGACGAACGGGCTAAGAAGCGAAAGCTCGAACAACTTGAGGAGGAAGGCTCTGATATCGAGGGCGTCGAGAAAGAGTTGCCAAGGCAGGGTCTTAAGCAGGCAGATGCCAAGAACAAGAAACAAAAGGTGCAGGACAAGGAAGATAAGAAACCTAATGGCACAGCAAAGGCACCAGCAGACGATGCCGAGGCAGCAAAGCAGGCCAGGATAGAGGCGAAGAAGGCGAAAGTGGCTCTGAAGAAGGAGAAGGCCACCAAGAAGGCTGAGAAGCAAAAGGCGAAGAAAGCAAAGGTAGCTGAACAAAAAGTCGACCTCAGAGACGATGATGCTGAGATAGACGTCGAAGGGATTGTAGCGGAGGACGAGGTCGCCGACGAGACTGTGGAGGGAGACGAGACTACCACAGGAGGAGATGAAATGCAAGATATCGAGATGGACGGAATCGCCGATGAAGTAGACGCAGAGAAAGAGACCTCGCCACAACCCACCGTTTCCTCAACCTCCACCCCTCAATCACCCACCTTCGACACCACCGACAAGCCATCCACCAACTCCACCTCCACCTCCACCTCCTCCGTCGTTCCCCCCACCAAAGCCCCGAAACACATCAAACTCCCCACCGACCCCGACCTCCTCAAAGCCCGCCTCGCAGCACGCATCGAAGCCCTCCGCGCGGCCCGCAAAGCCGACGGCCCCAACGGCGCCCCCGCCCGCAACAGACAAGAACTCATGGAGTCCCGCCGCAAGAAGGAAGAGCAACGGCGCGCACACAAGAAGGAGCTTCGCAACCAAGCCCGCGCCGAGGAAGACGCCCGCCGCGAGGAAGCCCTTGCCTCCGTCCGCGACTCCCCCGCTAGCGGCATCATGAGCCCGGCCATCCACACCGCCGAGGTGAACAACTTCTCGTTCGGCCGTGTGGCTTTCGCGGACGGCCAGCAGCTGACTGACGATCTGTCGACGCTGATGAGTGCACCGAAGAAGCGCGGACCTCAGGACCCGGCGACGGCGCTGCAGGCGGCAGAGAACAAGCGCCTCCGCCTCGCGGGGCTTGACGATGGCAAGCGCGCCGACATCGAGGAGAAGGACATGTGGCTTGCAGCAAAGAGGCATGCACACGGCGAGAAGGTCCGCGATGATGGAAGTCTGCTCAAGAAGACGCTGAAGCGCAGGGAGAAGGCGAAGAAGAAGAGCGAGAAGGAGTGGGGCGAGAGGAAGGAGGGTGTTGCTAAGAGTCAGGCGATTAGGCAGAAGAAGAGGGAGGAGAATCTGCAGAAGAGGAAGGATTCTAAGGGTGTGAAGGGGAAGAAGGGTGGAAAGCCGGGGGCGAAGAAGGGTGGTGCGAAGCCGAAGTCGAGACCGGGGTTTGAGGGGAGCTTTACCACGAAGAAGAGGTGATGTGGGTTTGTAAGTAGGTGATGGGATACCGGTAGGGATATTATGGAGTTTATGGGCATAGTGATGAATCAAGAAGTGTGAATCGTCAAATTATTTTTTATGATTGAGTGAATATGTGCAACTGCATGCAATAATTAAGGCTCCGACATGGTCACTACAATGAACTGGTAAACCACATTAGGTCATCATAATAGTTGTCTAACGCCAGGTCGCAGAAAGCAACACTCAAGCTGGCTACCTAGGTATACACATCGAAAAGGAAAATAGTACTCTTCTCCCTCCCAGTCGCGGCCAGGAGAAGCGGCACGCCCTTTGCCCCATCCCCCCGCTGCCTAATGTGTACCGAAACCTATAATGTTTTTCTCCAAACCATTTCCGACAAAACAAAAATCGCTGCGAGAGACAAGAAACTTTCCATTAGTCGTAGTAGGACCGAGCTGAGGAGTGAGCGTGGGGGAGATATGTCTGGCACAAAAAAGGACAAATCGATCGGTCCTCTAGAGGAGAGAATCGAGCCGGGTGAAGACGCTGAGACACGCGGCGACGACCTCGAGCTGGAGTTCCTTATCCTTCCCTTCGTTGATTTCCTGCCAGGGGTTATTAGAGGGGACCCTTGGAAAGTTAAAAATATCTCTGAGACAAAAAGACTTACATCCTGTACGACTTGGTTCAAGTTGGCTCCCACGCCTCCGTTTGTAGCTCCCGCGCGCTTTCCAAAGGGCCACTGGCTGTATTCCGCCAAGAGCTCGTCCACTTGCGCGAAGGCCCGTTCCCTGGCCTCGTGGCCAAGGGACGCCAAGGCGTTCTCGAGGACGTTGGCTGCGTAGGCGGCGCAGACCATGGAGATGGTGCGGATATTTCTGAACTCGAGGTTCTCTGGGAGCCATTGGCTCGCCGGTAGTACCACGGTTCGCTGTGTGAGGACGTTTCGGACGCGTCGCCTTATCTCTTCTTTCGGTCCGCCGTCGGCGACGGGGTGTGTGGCCATATCGAAGAGGAGGAAGTTCTTCTTCTCGGTTCGTAGGATTCCCTTGTCGACAAGTCCCTTCAGCAACCTCTCGCGGACTTGCTTCAGCTGGTAGCCTATCTTCATCAAATTCCAGGTTTCGCCTGCAGAAGCCTTTGTCTTAGCAAAAAATAGTTAACTGTTGGTGTCGCTGGTAGAACATACCGCTCATCAGGTCAATCCACGAGCTGACGCTCATCTTTTCGCTCGATTTCATCATCTTGAGCGCCTCGTCCAGCAAGACTTCTCCAGTAAGTGTGTCGTCTATAACTTCGATAATCCGGTCTGCCAGAGGAAATCTTCTCCTTGAGGAGTCCTTCTGCATGCTCACACGACCTCTGAAAGCCAGCTCGATGACAATACATCCTCGAAGCGCATATGATATGTTATCGTTCCAGAAGGACAAATAGCCCTGTAACCCAAAATTGTCAGTAGGAGTTCGTCCGCCTTGGTGCGCTCCCGGTATCGCATTACCTGCTTATCCTTGAGGCCCAACAGGAGAACCTCTTCCATCATAGTCAACTTCGGCTGTTTACTCCTCTCCGCGCTCTCATTCATGTCCCGCGGATCAAACGCAATCTTGTGTCCATTCTCGCCGCTCTCGTACGACGTTTCTGGCTGGTCCCTCGAGGATCCGGCTTTGGGCACCGGCGATGCAACGCGGCTCGAGCTGTTCTCGTCGTTATCGCCGCTTGCCGTGCCTCCGCCGCCGCCCCTCCGTCGCGTCAAACCGGATGACATTGTTGTGTGTGTTGGAGTGAAAATTATCGAGGAGTTGCGGTCGAGGAGGACAGGGGCAGGAGGTGAGCTGCTGTCATATGCGGAAGTTGCCCGACTCTAGCTCCCGTACACGACGATGGTGCTGTTAAACCAGTCCAGATGGCAATGCTCGAGTTTGTACGACTTCAATGACCAATGCTTGGGGTTGTAGAGATGGATTGGGCTCCAATGGTGAGGACGGTGGGGGGGGCGATAATATTCGGTGACCTTACAATGCAGGACCCTAGGTAACACTTCAAGAAAGGTTCACTGATACAGCCCATGTTCGCTTAACCACTTTGGGCGCCATCGACAGACCAAAAAATATTCCCTGGTGATATTATTGTTTATAATCACGCAAGGAATCACATTATTGATAGCAGGGAGTACGGGTAGCAGTTTGAGCAGGATTTCGTCTAAAGAACAGTTTTACAAAGTATCATTCAACATGCTATTATGGGCATGTCAAAAATATACAGCGACGCGCCCGGAGGCGCATCGGACACCCCTCCCCGTTTCCCAACATTATCCTCCACCAGTATGGTTCAACGATCAGTGAGCTGCAATTCGAGTTAGTTGATGTAGAAGTAGAGCATCGTGAAGTTTGACTAACCATCTGGCTGCGCAAGGATGTACTCAACGGCCTTGTCCACTATTCTGTTGTCAGTCCTGCATCATCAATCGCGCCCCCTATTCGTTCACATACCGCTGTGGATGGCGTCCGCGTCCTTGTCTGGGATCTCGATGCTGAACTCCTAGTTTCCGTTAATATCGGGCCAGTCTCGGGTTGAGTCAAAATTTGCCGACCTCCTCAATTGCCATCACAACCTCAACCGTGTCCAAGCTGTCCAAACCAAGATCGTTGTTGAAGTGGGAGGTAGCGGTGAGCTATATATATTGTGAGTTGATGCGCAGAAAAAAAACGAGGCTTGGATATCGAATGTACCTTAGAAGGGTCGGTGACCTTGAAGAGCTGGTTAGCAACGAACAACAACTTTTCCGGGATAACCCCAAGCTCAGGAGCACTCACTTTGTCGAAGTTCTTTAACAGATCAACGATTCTTCCCTCAACCTCTGGCTTGGCAAGCCCGGCGGCAGCGGAGTAGCATCTCGCGGCGTTGAATACCGACGGGGCGTACTGGAAAGTTGGGATAGCCGACGCAGGACGGGTAATTGGGCCGGCTCTACGGACAGCTTGGCTGGCAGCACTGCGTGCCGATTTGAGGAGAACTGTGCGGAACATTTTGGAGGATGTAGATGACGGAGATGGAGATCTTGAGTTGGTCAATGGTGTCGGCTCGGAATGTTCGACGAGCTTCAATGGGCTCTGTCACTAGCACGCGCTAGTGGGAGATCACGTGGTAATTTAATTGTCTCCTTAAAGATTGAGGGTCAGGAAGCCTTCGTTAACTGTCTCTATAATAACTGTAATTTTCATTAAGTAAACACGAATTATTATAGTTACAGTATAGATAACCTATCCATCCACCATTATACATGAAATGTATCGAAATACCTCAATGTCTCGTCGATTTTAAGGGTTAAGGGTAGAGAGATGGTGCACCCATAACATGAAACCACGTGACACTCAGCCCACTAACCAATTCAACCAATCAAACCACACCCGTTCTGGGATTAGACATCACCAGCATCCAACTTCGCGAATTTGACGAACCTCGCAGCACAGCTACACGTCCACGCCCCCATCCCTCCCCCCTCCCCCCGCAAGCACAATGGCATCCACAAAGCCGCTCACAATGCTTTGCCGGCCATCCGCGCAGCTCCTCCTCCGCGCCTCGCGCACCTCTGCTCCCTCGCCCTGGATCCAAGCCGCCGCGGCCTTCTCAACCGCCCCAGCCCGCTACGCTACCCCCACCGGCCCTCCGCCGTCGAAATTCAGACTCGCGCGCCCGGAGCGATGGAACGAGAGCAAGACCTCGGCCCTCGATCAGGCGGGTCAGTTTTTCCTGCTCACCGAGATGGCGCGGGGCATGTATGTGGTGCTGGAGCAGTTTTTCAGACCGCCGTAAGTTCAACTCCCGAGGTTGCCATTGGGGACGCAGATGGGCATGAGGTGGATTGGGAGAGCGAATACTGATCATGTCGGGTGTAGATATACGATTTACTACCCTTTCGAGAAGGGACCAATCTCACCGAGGTTCCGTGGAGAGCACGCCCTGAGACGTTACCCGAGTGGTGAGGAGAGATGTATTGCATGCAAGCTGTGCGAAGCTGTACGTCCCTCAATCCGTTTCATAGCTATATGAACTATACTGATTGACTTCCCCCAGATCTGCCCCGCCCAAGCCATCACCATCGAAGCCGAGGAGCGTGAGGATGGTTCCCGCCGCACGACCCGCTACGACATCGACATGACGAAGTGCATCTACTGCGGCTTCTGCCAGGAGTCGTGCCCCGTCGACGCCATTGTCGAGTCGCCGAACGCCGAGTACGCCACCGAGACGAGGGAGGAGCTGCTGTACAACAAGGAGAAGCTGTTGGCGAATGGAGATAAGTGGGAGACCGAGATGGCGGCTGCGGCACGGGCGGATGCACCTTACAGATAAACGGAGCAGAAAAAGAAGAAATTTGGAGCGAATTGCGTGCGGAGGAGGGAGAATGGGCGTTGCTTGTATATAAATGGTGGTTGTTGAGGAAGGAATTACATACCGAATGTAGTAGAGTTTCATTTGTTACTTGGTGACGGCAGCGAACACTTTTATCTTACTTGGCAACATTGAACGTGAAGACTGCCCAATGTAGATGTTGGAAGCCCGTGGCTGCTTAATTATTGGCTATGTGAAAGTGGCAGAGGTCATCTATGGTCCATTTTGGATATCTTCGTTCAAAAGCGAGGTAGGTTCAAAGCCAACAAACAATAGCAAATATAGCACATCTCACAGCTAGATGATTTGTCTTGAAATCTTGGATATCGTCACTGAATAATCTATCTCTGCACCTAACCCCCAACACCTGAACCCGAGTTTGGGTCTCTCCTTCCCCATACCGAATGAATCAACATGAAGTGTCATAACCCCAGAGACGCCCACAAACATACCACTCCAGCAGAGCAGTTTAGCGAAAAGTAAATACAAGACATGAAATCATACACTCCACTCCAATACTCGTTCCTCACACCCAAAATTGCCTGCCGTCGTACAATAATGGAAGATGGAGACAACTATCCGAGTATTCGGATTTATAGAGTGAGAGGCGGACAACGCAGTCGATACCGATCAGAGTGAAATCGAAGCCCGTCTCGCAGGTATCTCTTCATCCAAATCCGAGTCATCAGAATCCGAGTCCGAGCCCGCCTTCGTAGATTTATGAGCCCCATTCGTCTTCGGCGCAGCCGGTTCATCATACTCGCTCTCCGGTACCTCCGGCCCACCAGAAGGGATAGCATTGCCAACCGAATCCACGCTCTCGGACCTACGCGCCATACGATCGCTGAGCTTCTTCGGCGAGCGGTTTGTGTCCTTCAGTTTTGGCAACCCCTGCCTTATTTGTTCTCTAGCGTCGCCGTCGGATTCTTCGTCATCTTCGGAGTTGATAGTTTCCGCGCTGATATACTTATTCTTCGTATTTTTAGTTCCTGTAGATTCCCTGAACGATTTCGCGGTAGGGTCCCGGCCGTTTGCAGATCCCAGCTTCTCCAAGAGTATCTCAACAATTTCTTGCAGCTTATGGGATTGTGCATCTGGAACCGTACTCTTGAGCGTCGTAAGCGCCAACTTGAGTGTTCTGACAGCAAAGCGCCCTTGGAATTCCTCGTCGCCAACCGTCTTCCAATTGATCTTCCCCTCCCTTTGCACCTGCGACTCCTTGATACTGCGCAGAATGACCAACTTATCATCCAAGTCCATCTGCTGCGTCTCCTTGCGAGCGAGCTTGTCGCGCCAGTTCGGAGCCACCTTGCGCGGCGTGGTGTCAAACTTATCATCGCTCTCATGCATCCGCCTCCATTTCTGGCGACACTGCAGGCGACTCCTCGTGCGGCCCATCTTCTCGCTGACCTGTTGCCAATCCACGAGCTCGATGTCATCCGCTTCATCGTCGTTGGGGCTAGACTCTATCACGCCCAGCTGCCTCATCTCCCGAAGGTGTGACACGCAAGCTGCGACTGCATCACGTAGTTGCTGCACCTCGTCGTCGTCCCAGTATACAGTAATCATGTTATCACCGCAAATAAGGTAGTTCCTCCAGCGATCACGACAGTCCTCTGGATGTCTGTTGAGCCTTTGGCCAATCTGCGTCCAGCGATTCGGCATCTGCCTATGCGCCTCCCTGAGATCCTCATCGTCCTCCGCCGACCACTTCCCGCGCGCCGTGAAGTTGTGGAATTTCCGGCGGCAGAACTTGATCAAAGACCAACGATCCCGGTCTGGGAATTCCTCGCAGACCATGTTGAACAGGTTGCGGCTGTCGGTGGCCTTGCCATGGATTAAGCGGTTCTGCTCTAGTTCGTTGATGTCGTTCATCTCGCGGTACTTGAGAAGTTGGTTCTTGATAACGGCGAGGTCGTCATCAGTCATCCTGGGGGCTGGCTTGCCATCAGCTGCGGCAGCTGCGCGTGTCGGAGTTCGAGGAGCTGCCGCGGAGCTCGCAGGTGATTTTGGTGCGGCTTTTGTCTTCTGGCCCTTCGTTACTGGAGATTTGGCTTTGAGTGACTTCTTAGATCTCTTAGAAGGCGTCTCGATAGGATCGTCGTCGACAGGGAGACGGCGTTTACGTCTGCGAGTCGTGCTGGTTGGTTCTTCACCGCCAGCATAAACACCGATTTGCGGCACCTCTTTATTGGCGACCTCCAGTATTTCTCGACTGTCTCCGGAATTGTCGGCAGGGCCGGCCTTCGCATTCTGAGGTTCGGCTACGACCAGGTCCATTGGATCTTCGACGGGGTCTGCAGGCGTGTTCTGAGATTGAGTTGGATCAAGATCCATTTCCTCGATGGGGTGGATTTGCGAGCTCTTAGGTTTGGTAGCACTGGCATCCGTTTGTTTCTCGGGAGAGTTTGATTCGGTTTCCCCCGCAGTTGGCTCCTCCGCCTGCTTGTGATTGCTTTGCCCATTTGCCATGTTGACATCGTCGTGGGTCTTTCCAGTTTTAGTGGCACTGGACGGCACATTAACTGCTGCCCAAGAGCTCGTAGGAGCTGGTTCAGGAACATTGTCCTTCGCAAGGGGCTCAGCATCGGCCGCTTTGGGACCAGTGCTGCTGCCACCACCGTCACCCCCAACTGCAGCGGCGACTGCCTGTATACTGTTACGCTTGTTCTTTGACTTGTTCTTCTTCTTTTTCGATGCCGTAGAGCTCGAAGGCGCATCTGCTGTTGGGTGTGAAGATTCAGGCACTCTATCCACAGCATCTGAACGTGGCAGTAGAACCGACGCAGCTGAGCGCAATGGCGCAGACTGCGACGAAGCCCCCCCAAGAGATTGTCGCGCAACTCCGTCGCTCATTCGATTCTTCTTCCTCTTCTGTTTCACGGACGATGTGGGATCGTTATCTTTCCCTTCACTATTCCCCCCATTCCCGGCCTTGTCTTTCTTCTTCTTCATTTTTTTGAGTTTCTTGTCGGCGCGTCGCGCGCTATCGCTTCGATCCGCGGCGCCATCCTCTGATATTCCATTGCTCATCTTCCACTTTCGTTGCGCTGAGCTATTGATCGTCTCCTCACGCGCCTCGCGACTCGGTGGAAGGGCGGGAAGAGGATAGTCGCCCTCAACCCCGCCGCGGGTGCTCGAATTGCCGTCCATGCTTGAAGAGTCCTCTTCTATTCTTTGGACCTGACTTGACTCCTGCCCCATCAATGTTTGTGCTGTTGGCAGCGAGAGTGCAGGCGCTGAGGTGAAGCTTGTGGCGCAAGTGGCGGTAGTCGGAAAGCTCAGCTCTAGAACTAAAAGTTCGAGATAACAGGGGTTTCAAAATTCATGCGGGAGCAAATCATGGGGTGGACCACTCATCCTACTAGCGCGTTCTGCGCTTCTGTGGTGGGTGTGGTCCGCAAAATGCCAAATTCAACCTCACTTTGAATTCATTTGCACTCTCGCTTTTTATTTATATTAAGCATATCAATCTCAATTGAACTTGACTTTTTTAATACTGGCCATGGTTTAATTTATATACATAATTGAAACTAGCAGTTGAAATTAATCCGCAATCATTCAAAGGGAAAATCCCCTTAAATGATACCCTTTCTCGCGCGTCAAAGTGTCAAAGCGTAACAAACAAATCTAACAAAATAAAGTTTAAAAACCAGTGAAGGATTGAAGGATCGTACTTTCACACCAAATCTACTCTGTTAATATAATTCTTGGCCTCATAAATCAACAGATTGCCTTGAATTGCTCAGACACTGTCTCCGTCAAAGCACGTGGGGTTGTTAATTACGGGTAGATTGCGTACATTGGTTGGATACCACCACTGTTCCAATGTGTTGGCAGTGCCAAGTTCCCCAAACCGCGGGTGAACATTTAGCACCATACGGAGTCCACAAAAGCTCATATTGCTCAGCCACAATATCCTTTTTCAATTACCCCTTACTAGAACCTCATTCTGGCATTGAATCGGTGTTTATGTGACTATGAAGAGCTTCTCTTAACGCATTACTCGCATCGGCAGGCGCAACCGCGATACACGCGACCCAAGAGACGATGAACCCGGCTCCGCGGTGTTGGCGATCTATCAATCGCCAGACACCTTGCCTCTTACGGACGGGACGCGTAGGAATCCAATGTCGTCTACCACAACTTGCTCTTGCTCCTGTATCTCAATCTCAGAGGAGATGGGAAACATCGAGTGGCCTCGGCGATAGCAATTCGGCCACAGAAGGTAGGATCCGGTTTCATTCATTCGCTGCCGGGATGGCCAAGCTTCCTGGGGTAAACGTGCGAGCACGTGTGGATTGCATGCGTACTTAAATCCTGAGAATTAGATATAAAAACGTTCACTATACTGAATGCAGCGGCTCAGTTGATGGGTTTGCGGCCTAAATTATGCACAATGCTAACTTAATAAAGGAACCAAGCAACTTCATGACCCTCGTAGAGGCCCGTCCAAACATGGTCGGCGCCCACGCCATGAGGAGGATGAAAGGCCCCAATCGCTACTGTCCAAAATGATAGAAGCTGCGGCAACTGCGTTTGCAAGCATAGTCGTTCTTGGTGCCGGCTTTGCATTTGGAGGCTTCTGCTATCACAAGTTCTACAAATGGCACGTGCTGCGCAAGATGCGCAAGGCCTTCGAGCCAGGAGACCCAGCACTGGTCTTGGCCGCTATGGGGAAGCAGGTCCCTGAAGCGCAACCGCCAACCACGCAAGAGGAGCAGGAAAAGAGCGACAATGAGAATCATTGGATTCGTAGAGATGAGCAGGATAAGATCGATGCAATAATAAACGGAACCGAGAAAGGCCATTATCACCTCCTTATCGGCGAGAAGGGCACTGGGAAGACATCTATGCTACTTGATGCCATGCAAAAGATCGATGGAGAGGGTATCGCCATGCTCGACGCGCATGGTGATCTCGAAATCTTCCGGATACGGCTTGGTAAGGCGCTTAACTTTGAATTCCACGAAGACTACATCGGATCCTACTTCTCGGAAAGGGGACCACGAGAAAGCACAGCGTTGCTAGATATTGAGCGCGCCTTTAACAAGCTGGATAAAGTTGCTCTGGACCGACGGATGAAAGTTGGCAGGCCAATCGTTCTTATCATCAACTCCATGCACCTTCTCAAGCCCGACACCGATGGAATGAATCTGCTTGAGCTCCTACAACAGAGGGCAGAGCAATGGGCAGCCAGCAATCTCATCACCGTTGTCTTCAACAGCGACGACTACTGGGTGTATGAGCGTCTCAAGCAGCTAGCCACACGCATGGAAGTGACGACAGTCGGCGACCTACCCAAGGACAAAGCCCTCAACGCCATCCGAATGTACCGCTCCAAGTACTTCTACGAAGACCCCGACGAGTCCATCCTCTCGCAAGTCTACGAAAGAATTGGCGGGCGCCTAACCTTCCTCAACAAAGTCGCCAAATCCGCCGACATGCTCAAGACCTGCGACGAGATCTCCGCCGTCGAAAAGCAATGGTTCCTCAACCAATGCGGCCTCCTCGGCATGGAAATGGATGACGACGTCATGGACCAGCAGAAGTACGCCTCTGCAGCCATGGTCCTAGCCCAAGCCCTCGTCGACCAAGAAGCCAACTCCGAAGGCCCTATCTACGACCCTGAACACGGCCACGACCTGCCCGCGCTCCCACTGCACAAGGCGCGCCAGGTCATGACGCGCGCGGATTTCATTCGGGAGTATGATCATATCAATGTCTTCACTATCACGTCGAGCGCGATGGTGCGCGCGGACTCGGTGCCCATGCAGCGCGCGTTTAGGGAGATTTGCGCAGAGCCGGGTTTCAGGGACTATCTCGATGCGACGCTTCAGCGTATTAACGATATTGAGAGTCTGGGTCGTACTAGGGAGCTGGTGGCGAAGGATTTGGTGTTGGGGGGGAAGTATGTTATTAGTCAGGAGAAGGGAGGGTTTGGTAAGGTGATTCAGTTGGTGATGCCACCGGAGGAGGATGAGGATGATGATAAGGAGGAGGGGAAGGGGGGGAAGAATGATAGTTGATGAGCTTTGTATAAAGACCCAGAGTGGGGTCTTTTTGGGCCCTGGGTTAGGATGGTGTGACACGACTCTATTTACTTAGATTTCCTTTTGTATTTTATAGCTTTGAGGCTTTGAGGCTTCGGCTAGTGTAGCATTTGTATATTTACTCTTCCTGTATTATCTGGATTCATTATTCCTAATCTTTAAAAATTAACCAAGCTAGGGAGGCAAAGCCTGCCGGAACAAGCAGAGCAACCAGACCAGTTCCCCGAACGCAATGGCTCCATAGCCAAGGATCTTTAGTCCTAGCCCGACATCCTTAATCATGCCGATGAGAAATGAGGAAAGCAAGAGTCCCCATCCAAGAACGAGAAAGACGAGAACCATAATATGCGCCTTCGGCCTGATGTTTCTTCTAAACATCGGGTTTCGATCCAGTTGTGCTACCAGCCTATTCCACCATAGGTAGGATCTTAGTGCAATGAGAATTACTCCAACAATTGTCCCAAGCAATACAAGAACACCGAAAAAGTCATAAAGCAGATAATGGAGATCCGAGAATCTTGTTTGCATGCTGAGCACCCCAAAAGCGAGAGATAGAGGTAAAAATATGCTTGCTAGAATGCTTAGCAAGCGGACATTCTGGGCTTCGTGCATGCCTCGAGAGACTTCGAATAGTCTCAGGTGACCTTCTAGAGTTGTCGATAGCGTGGTTATAGTTCTTATTAAGTCTGTGCAGGTCGATTGTAGCTCGACGGCGAGGCACCGGAAATCACGATAGTTGGCAGCATCCACCAGGAGTATTTTCAGCAATTCGATCAATGTATCAACCGCTCCGGACAATTCATTGATTCGCTCCTTTACCCCCTCGTAAAGGCATATATCTCTTGTGATCTCAGCCAACATGGGAGCTGTCAGCGTCGATCTGCGTGGGTCTGAAAGACCCTCCTTGTTCCTTGCATACTTGGCTTGGAGACTGTAAACCAAGTTGGTATACTCTTCGACTAGAGCATGACTATAACCAAGGAGGAGTAACTGCATTCGGACTGACGCAGAAGTGACTTGCGTGCCTAGAATCAAGTATGCTTGAATTGAGTTTCGCAGGCGTTCACAGAAGTCACTGTGGTAAGCATAGACACCTTGAGGGGAAGGCCTTTCAGATTCATGTCTTTTAAGCTGTCCTTGGTCGAATAGCAAGTCTAAGTCTTGTATCATCGACTCGGCGTCAATATAGACTAACCATTAGTAACTGTGCATGTCATATAGAAGGAAAGTACTCACAAATTGTCCGACCATCTTCTGTTGAAACAATCATACATCTTAGTCTTCGTTGAATGATTCCTGCGGCAATCGAAATGGAATCAATATAAGGAGGCTTAACAACTTTTTCCGCACCTCCTCCATGCCAAACTGCATTTCCTCCTTTCAAGGTCAACTCAAGTGAAAGTTGATAAGAGTGCGTTTCCCAGTGGATTTGTTTTGACGGCATGCCCCACTGAGATATCATCGCAGGGGAGCCAGCGAAAGAAGTCCTTTTAGAAAGTGATTATTCCCTATCATAATCGATATTTTCTCCAAAATATACAAGAACAGCATGCACTGCTTGTGTCGGTAAAGTTCTTTGGACATGATCTTTATCGATACCAGTGGCTTTTAGAACGAGCCTCGTAGGCTCTTTGGGGGAAAATGGGATGTCAAAAATCTCAAGGAAGTATTGTCCCCTGCCGAGAACTGGTTTCCAAGATTTGGTAGTATCATAAAGCTTGGATGGCTCCCACAATAGATAAAATGTTTCAAGAGCAAAATGAAAGTACGACAAGGACATGCCCTCTGGGGCAGGCATGGCGGCAAAGAAGCTTTTGAGATGTGTGACCTAGGTCCCGTGTGGCATCTCACATACTTTGGCGGCGGGAAGTCGAAATCATATTAGTGACGAGATTAGACGCGAAAAGCCACCCAAAAGCACAAGATAGTATATTCTCTGTCGAAGTTTGGGACAGGGCAGAAAGCAGATGAGGCTGCAGTTATGGGAAACCTCCATAAATAATACAGGGGTGCTTGGCCATGTGGCGCATATGCCAATTTCCTGACGAAAGCCACACCCTATGTAAACATGGCATATAAATTCCATCGGTTAGTATTGATACTCCATAAATAGACGTCAGTAACAAATCCAAAAGACTCTATTAAATTCCAAATACAAAGGGCTGATATACCACCAAAGCTAAAATACACATCCTCCCAACCACACTGAACATCAGCTCGTTCGAGCACAGACACCAAGACCACCTCATATCAGCCTGAACATATTGTCCTTCACCCCCCTCTTCATCGCCACCGCCTTCCCATTCTCATACTCCAATCCTGCAGCTCCACCCTCCCCACTGATCTCCTCTAGCTTAAGCTTCAGTTCCTCATCGAGCTCTGCGATCGTCTTGGACCTGACTTTGACCTTGACTGGCTCTGCTGGTGGTTCTGGAGTCGAGCTCTTAACCGGCTGGGTTGGTTCCTGTAGGGAAATTAGTGTCGTGCTTGGAAGTATATGGGGGACACGGGGCTGGGGGGAAAAGGGGTGTGATGAATGTCCTTACGGTTGGTTCTTTGGCAGGTTGTTCACGTGATGTGGTGCTGGAAAAGAAATAGTAGCGCACGGCGTTGATGGAGGAGTGTGGTCTTAGAGAGGAAGATGCGTGCGTTAAAGCCCTCTTCATTGCAAGACTGGATATGTATATATTGAATGGAGTCGTTTAGTTGGGGTAGATGAGAGTTTGAAGAGGTCGGGAGGCAAATACTTGTAGCGATTGATGGATAGTTGATAACAAAATGATAGTCCCGCGTAAAGTGGACCTCATATTGCGGCCCGAGTGCTCCATACAAAATCCAAAGCTCGACTCTCATATGAGCTGCTCCTATTCAAACTCATCTCATGCATGTATCATCTATCCTACCACTGTCTCGCTCTATAAATTCAATAGTATACAAAGAATAAAATAGCAACATTACGAACTTAATGAGCCTAGGCAAATCCCTCCACCAACGCGGGCTCAATCGAGATCGGGTAGTAGAAGAGCTCTGTTGGATCAACCTGCGCTTTGATCTCTTGGAGTCGTGGCAAGTTAACTCCCCAATAGGCCTTCTGGGCCGTGGCGCGATCCATCCGAGCATCTGCATAGTTGATATACATGCCCCAGTCCGACAGGTCCATATCAGCAGTAGTATTCGACACCCATCCGTCAAGAAACTCAAATCCAAGTTGTGGATATGTGCCGAATGATCTGTCGTATAACTGGATAAGAAACAGTTTATCTCGATGCGCATAGGACGTGAGTGTCGGATCTGCTTTCGAGACGGCTGAATTTTTTCCTCCGTGGATGTCAATCTGGAACCACCAGATCCGCGTCACGTTCCTTGCTGTTCCATACCAATAGTCGACAAAGTTGCTTGCAGATGTTCCATTCAACCCTTTCAATGTCAGGCTTTTAGAATAGAATGTTTCGTGCTATACTACAGTCAGAACTGCAATGGAATCTGAAGGCGATACTCACCATTTCGTACGGGTAGGTAACGTCGACTTCAGCATTAGCATAGTGCTCTATTCCGTCCATCCAGCCACCAACTTTTGCTCCAGAAATAGATCCCCCGGTTTTGTTCAGCAATGGCTCAAGCGCAACTTCAAGCCCCTCCTTATCTCCATAATACACGCCTTCAACGGAGGCCGAATGGGATGATCCAGCAAGGCGCATGTTTAACTCAGCCGGCATAGCGTTTTTGGCGTAAGACTCCAAGGCTTCTAGCCCTGCCTGTGCAGTACTCTGGTTCCAGGGCAGTTGGGCTGAACCAAGTAACATTTGCCGGAGCTTCAAACGTCTTAAATTGGTACGACGCAGCGATGCCGAAGTTTGAACCTGCCCCTAACATGGCCCAGAAAAGATCCGGGTGCTGGTTTGCAGAGCACTCGACGACAGTCGAATTTGCGAGAACGACGGTGATACCAATCACCCAGTCCAAAGCTAGCCCATGGGTGTTAGATGCCATCCCGAAGCCTCCGTGCAGGACGTGGCCAGACACTCCTACACTTTGAAGCATTAGCATAAGTTATTGCTCGGAGTTAGACTTCACTCACCCAGGACATGTTCCATGTGAGATAGCCCGATTCCCCTGTGCAAAAAGCTCTGTAGCCAAATGACCTAGCCTCGCTCCTGGCTCAACAGTGGCGATGTTTATCTCTGTATCAAGTGTGACATTATACATGTGGTCAAGCTGAATCACCAGATGCCCATCCTCTCCTCCTAGGCCCAACGATGCATATGAATGGCCGCCTGCCTTCGGAGTCACTTTGAAACCATGCTCTGCGCCGCAAGAGACAGCCAGCTGGATGTGCTCTGTTGTCGTCGGCACCGCTATGGCAGCTGGTGTATACTCCAATCGCTCATTGAAAGGTGAGGCGTAGACATCCCAATCATCGGCGTCAGACTCATAGAATGGGACTTTTGCAGTTTCAAGGCAATCCCCCAATGCTGTCGTGTTTCTTTCTGTGCCTCTCTGTGCAACCGCAACCGCAACCGCAAAACTAAGACACAGCAGGGCTAATGAACGCATAATGTTAAAAAACCTGGCAATTATTCCATAAGTTTAAAGCTAGACTGACATCGCCTTGTTAGTCTTCAGAGCCGTAGCCGCGTTTGCACTTTTCATAGGAGGCCCTGGAGCGGCTGGAAACGTGTGAGGGCAGCAAAGATATGAGAACGAAAGTCGAAGTAAGCATGCCTACTTATGGCCAGAGGCGACGGAGGCCGCGCCCTTCTTATGAACACTGTACAAGGTCCTGTTCGCGGCCGATCGCCGACGAGTTGTGTTTTTCTGCATGATGAATACATATCACCGATGGCAGCTCGTAATATATCAGTCCGCAATATTCTGTTTCATTGTTATAGTTTCTGGCATTAGTTCCATGATTTAAACCCCACCGGGGTTCCAACTACTATAATACTATTCCAAATTAACCGTAGTTGAACTGCCGTCGTTGAATTAACCGCCACTGAATTAACCGCCACTGAATTAGCCGCAACCCCATTCAAGCCTTGACCTGATGGGTGCTCGACGAAAATGATGCCGTTTAAGGATGCGCCGCCATAAGCGGATACTCACATACGGGACTTTGTACCGCCCTTGCGGCGCGGCGGTCCGTTATGGGCAGATCTTAATGCGATTAATATGGGCCCATAGATAGGTGGCCAGGATTACCTGACGGCACTTGCAGGCGGCACTGAAGCATATGGATATCGCTGTTGCGGCTGGGAAGGGGAAAGAGATGTGCAGGCGGGGCGGACACAGGGTTGACGCGGGGAATAACATGTGCAACATGTTGTGATATATTCAATTGGTTGGTATCTCTCTATTTGCAAATAGCTGTTGTCCAATGCTATGTGTGTGGGCTTTATGTGCCTCACATAAGAGTTCAGTAGTCTGAGCTGACCGGCACTACCAAACCTTCTCCCAAGACCGCAGGAGTCTATACTTCTTATATTCCAGTCTCGGAATACCCGAAGCCTCGTTTGTTCAGACGCTCTCCCACACCCCGTCTCGAACCGAGTTCCTCCATCGTCTGGCGTCTGGCTATGATGAGCCAACTCGTAGGCAAGACGATGACTGCCGTGATCACTGTCATATCGAATCCATAATCATCCTCTCTTTCAATCTCCCATCTCCTCATCCGTACTGCTTTCCCTATACCCGTACCCCGCCACAAACCCATCAGGATCAATTATCGGTCCCAGACCAGTTTTACTAGCCGTCATCCACTCCCTGAGTTGCTGCTTGTCGATCTTGACTTTCTGCACATCTCCCTTCCCCCTCGCAGCCGCAACAGCGATGTTCATATGCTTCAGCGCCGTGAGGCAATCTTCTACGCAAATCCATGTACCCGCACTAATATCATCCAAGCTCACTACCTTGGTTTTCTTCTTCTCCATGTCTCCTACGTCCAGGAGGTAGCGGGCTACTTCGCCGCTCCAGTATTTGATGTAACTCATCTTTCCCAGGTCAGAGATGGGTTTCTCGGGGCCGCCTATGATTTTCTCGCGTCGTGAGATCTCGTAGGATACAGCGATCAGTAGGGAGCCGAGACCTTTGTGCTGCCATGGCGGGAACACGAGGATGCAGGCGAGATTGTTGTTATCCCACGACATCTTCTCCTTGCTAAAGAACCCGATGACTTGCTCTTCGTGTGTCGTAGGGTTCGCGTGCACGAGCAGCAGGTAGGTGAACCCGGTAACATCGAAGAAGACGGACTTGTTATCGAGGAATAGCTTCGCAAATAGGCACAGATTTTGACAATATAACTATAGTTCAAAGTCAGCTCAATTCTCCCCAAAACAGCCGTAACAGGAGCACCCACAGAATCGACTTCCCCATCCACCTCCCAGACACTCCACCCACTGTTCCCATGACTGTATATCTTCCTCCCTGGTATCATTGGCGCCGGCCCCCCTCTCCTCCTCTCACACGCCTTTCCATGCCCAACCCATCCCATCAACTCCTTGCTATACTTGAAGCAATGCTTACACACATAAAGCCGCTCCAGCATCTCCTTCTCCTCCACCACCTCCCTCCCCACTATCTCCTTAACATGGCGACTCGGATACCACGCCCTAAATAGTATATCGCCCAGCACAACATTATCCACATTCCTCTCCAGCGTCGGCGCAGCCGCAGCTGAAGGTTTCGACGTCGACGAGCTCAGCGATGGTGTGAGCGACACCGCGCGCCTAGCCGTCGCAGTCGGCATAGCTCTCGTCTTTCTGCTTCTCCTCTCTGGCTTCAGCGGTATCGGTGACGGGGCCGAGGCTGACGATGACACATATGCAGGCTGCTCCTTACGCTTCTCCCTCACTGGTTTCGCAGGTTTGTCAGGCTCCGTCGTTGCCGTCGCATTTTGCGCCCCCGCCGTTCCCGTTGTAGTCGCATTCGCCGCCGTCACACTGCGGGTGGTTCTTGGTGCGGGCGGCGGAGCGGTGCCGCCGCGTTTACGTTTTATCGGCGCCATATTTGTGGGCCAGGGTGGTAGGGAATCGTGCTACATGAGATGAGATTTGGGGTTCTTGTGAGCGACGATGTCGCGGTAAGTGGAAAGGTGGGTTATGGGGGGAGTCATTTATTTGGGAGGGCAGTTAGGTATGCTTTCTCCTCTCTGGGGAAGTCGCTGCGCGATTGAGGGACTGTTTGGACCCTGACAGGTAATGGGGCAGTCGCGTACCTGTTGGTATTTGGTGAGGTACATTTTGTTTCTGGCGCGCAAGGCTGTTATGTGAGGGTTCAGCCTTGTTTGTTTTGAACGAGTTAACATGCCATTGATATCAATTGGCATAGAACGGTTCTAGAAAAGATTCTTTTATATCAGACTGTGAATATACAAACTGAAGCATCATGCTTATCGCCTTTCCTCAATGATGCTTGACGAATGACACACTTTCTCACAAGGCTGCGTGCAAGATTATGTAGATCTTTGGAAGCAAAATACAATGATTATCGAAGGGAAAGCTCTAAATCCATTACTACACTCCTTCGCGCCAACACGACGCGGTATGCATGAAACTAAAAGTGCCGGTTGGGAGTGACGCCTCTATAACTATCCTCGATCACCCCTCCTATCCGGCCGGATTGAATAGCAAGACAATACAGGTTGATGAAGTGTAATTATCCTCGTCCTCGCTGTGCGCGTTGTTCCCGAAAACCGTTCGACCCATCGTACATCCATCGCCTTTCCCTTCCCCGCCCAAAATAAACCATCTTACATGCCCTCAAACTCACCACCCAGATCGTCCTCGTCCAAATCTCCGTCTTGGATCTCCTTTGCCATCTCGCGCTCGCGCTCGCGTGCCTCTTGTGCGTTCTTCAGCTCGAGCCTATGCTGGTTCATTGGGAAGCGCATTGCCTATTATTGTCAGTAAATGGTCATCGATATTGAAGGGAAATAGCCGTACCTTGATACTCTCGTCGTGAAGGGCAAGGCACGCACGAATACGGTCATGGAAAGCCTCCCCAGGTTCCCTTGTTGCGTAAACATCGCCAATCTCCTTGCTCTTCATGAAACCTCTCTCGCGGTCCAGTGTAGCTTCTATAACACCATCCCTAATGGCCTTAGCAACGATGTACTCGGCCGACTCCTCGCTTCCCAAATGAAGGCGAATGCAGATGTCGCGGAGAGAAATGCGCGAGTACGACAGAGACATCATGCGAATTCCTGTCTTGATAACATTCTGTCTGAGTCTAAGAATCAATGTATATGTGCCGTCACGTCGGAAAGTATCGCTATGTTGCTTGATCGAGCTCTCGAAATCAACGAGGTTGCCAACACGGACGGCTTGTACGAGTAATAAGTATGGAGCAAGGGCCCTCTCGAGGCTTGCCATGCTGAAGGTAGCTCTCTCTGGAATATCTCCCATGAGTAACTCCACGACAAGAAGGAGCTTTGTTGCAGTTTGGGTGAAACCAGCTGCGCTTGGACTCGATGGGGCCTTGCGGGTTGCAGCCGTCAGGTGCTCGTGTGCCTCAGTATAACGGAGCTGAATCGCGCGAATTCGTCCCAGATAGTATAGATATCTCGCAACCTGGTTGTTCGATGCGTTTTCGGGGAATTTCGTGTGGGATACCAAGAGATCGGCTTGAGTGATGTGCGACGTTGAAAGGTAGTTGCGGAGCAGAAGAACGATGACCGTAGCTTGTGTGTCGATATCCTTTCTGAGAACAGCAGTTCGAAGAGCTGCGAGAAGAGCTGGGCGGAGAGATACGACTGGCGAGTTCGGCGACGGTGGTAGCGGCTGCAGCTGTTCGGCAAACAGCGAGAAGTAGAAGTAAGCCCGAGCAGCTAACGAATCCAGTGTGCGACGGTTGAGAGTGTGTATTTGCTCGGCCAGCTGAGAAGAGAATTTCGCTCCCTTCTGGGTCTCCTTCTGGTCTGCAAACAGGACCTGAACCAGAATACCCAGGAACACATCGATCTCTGGGATGATCTCCTTGGCCTCTTTCTTCGATCCATTCTTCGCCTTGACGTCACCATCAACATCCATATCAGATGATGTCTGCCTACTAAACGTAGCATTCTCCTTATTCAAAGCAGCCAGCAGGTTCTTTGCTACGGAGCTTGATGCAGGGTATGTCTCGGTAATGACTTGTGCAAGGACATCGGCGCTCAGGTGTTTGCGGATTGTAGAAATTGATCGGAGAGCTCTCAGGGTGAAACGAGCATCGAATAGTGCCACAGCCTTCTCTAATAACGCAAAGTCGTTCTTGATATCTGTTGATGAGGCTCATGGTTAGCTTCAAGGCTGGGGTCATCGTACAAACGCTTCACTTACTTGAGATCGTCAGAGCTATCGGGTCCACCTCGGCCTCTACTTCACTTGTTGCAGTCTCCTCGTCCATTGCCACGTCTCCTTCAGCATCTGGAGGTGGTGGCGCCGATAGCTTTGAAGCTTTCGATGGAGGCACAACGACCGTCATCTCGTCGTCGCCCTGGTTCACTTTCTTGCCCTTGCCGCCCTTCTTCGATGCTGGAGCATCGTCTTTCATCTCGATATCCTGTGTTCCATTCTCGACTGGATCATTGCCGTTTGTGTGAGGGGTTTTGCTGGGCATGTCGTTGTTGTCGTCAGGAGTGTGTCGAGCACGTTGACGTTGGATTTCGGGCGCGTCTCGCGAGAGAGCTCGTCGTTTGTGAGTTGTTGAGAGAACTCCAGATGTGAATTAGATTACAAACGGGAAGGCTTGTCTTGGGCCGTGTTTGTTTATGTTCTGTGGTCGTTGGTTGGTCGGGTTCAGATGGGATTCAGTTAAGACAGTCTTCCGTTGATGCTTGAGGTAATCGCCAGGCAAGGTAGCTTCGTAGCCTTTGAAGTTAGGCGGCTCCGACCAGAAGCGAGAGAGATGGACCAGGCTGCTGACGTGACGACAAGTCACAAGGGTTCCCCAACAACCAAAAGTACTCTCTCTACTACCAAAAACCACAACACGACTCAATTATCACGTGAAAATTGTATTACAAAGTAAACAATCAGATGTCGTATTTAGATAATCTACAATGTATCAATTTGGCTAGATTGTTAATCACGGGATTCACTTGTTCTTGTCACTTGTCTCGCTGAATTCCCCGATGTATGACAAGTGAGTGGCAAAAGAACTTCGGAGTCACAATCCCCAAATCGGCGGAGTCAGCGAGCGGCAGTGGAGCCTTATAACCCCCGCATGTCGACAACCGCAGCTCTCCAGCGTTAACCAACATTACATTCTTCACATTTCAACATATACATCTCCTGAAATCTACTTGTAAAATGTCAGAAACCGACCGTCGGTCACTACAACAAAGGTATGCTTGCCGGAACCTTCTATCGGAACCTTCTATCACCCGCCACCAAATACTTACTGGATGCAAGTCTCACCGCCGCAAACCGACACTTCTCGCCATAGAAACAAACAAGACCTCTTATGTCTCCTCATCCTGGAGTGCCCATAGCTTCTTGGGACTTCGGTCCCTGTATCGAACTGCTTCTGCAGGGCGTGAAGTCCGACAACACTGGCTCATCGCCGCGGCTGAACAATGCCTCCTCGACAAACATACCTGGTAGAAACCAAGACGTTGCCACCACCGGAAGCACTCCAAGTCTAGGGAATTTCGATGCCATTTTCAAGCACCTAGGCACCGAGGCTATCGATATACCCATCAAAGCAAACCATCCATCATCTTCAGACGAAACGTCTGAAGATGTAGGCTCATACTCTACCGCGGCCTCCACACCGCCGGACGAAGAACCGAGATATTTTGACTTGTGCATGATGCCTAGGGCGGTCGGAGCGAATGAAGATATTCAAAATTACAAAACAAAACTGGGACTGAATAATAATGCACAAAATAAACTGAAGAAAGTCACCCTGCCCAACGGAGAAAAACAGCAGCCAAACAATTCCGTGTCAACGACCGAACTATATCGTCAGCTTAAGGCCGCCCGAAGATTGGACTCGACCGTTCCACTCCCAAGTTTCGGATGGGTGCCGGATGCCCTGCCTACCACGCCGGTACGGAGAAGTGAGCGCATACTTAACAAAGCCAAGAAGTCCACAGCTATAGTTGACGTCCATGCGACACCAACACATTTTTCAACAGCACGAGCTGCTGCAATCAGCACGCATAAGTCAGTCGGCCGTCGCCAGAGCTTACCTGCAGATACTCCGCGTATTCTGCTGGATCCCAAAGTGATAAGACCTCTGCTTTATGCGTCTCATGATACGAAGAAGCTTAGAATTGCTGAAAAGCTCATGCTAAGATTCGGGCCAACATCGAGTACGATTGAGGGCGACCTTATCCGCGCTATGGGCCATGTTGGCGGCAATGAACGTCCAGATGGCATCCATGTGTTCGTTGATAGCTCCAACATCGCCATCGGATTTGCAGAGGCGCTCAAAAGAGCACGGGGAATGGACAAAAATGAATTTACGAAATTACCACCACTGGCATACCATTCGCTGGCCTTGATCATGGAACGTGGTCGAGGTGTCGCGAAACGGGTTCTGGTGGGGTCCAGTCGCGATAACGTGCGATTGGATTACATGTACGAAGCAGCCCAGTGCGGCTATGAAGTTTCAGCGCTCGAGCGCGTGGAGAAGTTCAAGGAGGCGAAAGAGTCGGATATTGAAAAATATAAGCGGCTAGGAAGAGCCAATGGAAACAACACGTCTTCCGGTAGCGGCGGCGAGGCTCCTCTCAACGCCTTTAAAACGGTTACTGAGCAAGGCGTGGACGAGATTCTCCATATGAAGATGCTGGAAAGCATGGTTGATACGGATTATCCTTCCACAATGGTCGTCGCCACTGGAGACGCCGCCGTGGCGGAGTACTCCTCTGGCTTTCTCAGGAACGTCGAAAGGGCTCTTGAGCGGGGATGGAAAGTTGAGCTCGTCGCTTGGAAGCGTAGTATAAGCTACGCCTACCGCGACAAGGCATTTGCAAAGAAGTGGGCGGGGCAGTTCACGATAGTGGAACTCGATGACTTCCAGGAGGAGTTGTTGGGGATCTATACGAAAGGCCCGCGCACTTTTGATGCGTCGAATTTTGTGTAGCTCGGGGCTCCTGTGTCATATTTTTTACAACACACAGCGAGCGATCTGCTGCAGTGATTTGATTTACTCGTCGGCTGCTGTAATATGCGCGGATGGGTTGTTGGATTTATACTGTATGATATAGCAGATTATGGCATTGGCTGGGACCAGGCATGAGAGCATTGATGATTGTATTTTTGGAGGATTTCCCTTCACAGCGTCTACTTGCTTTTTGTAGGATTTTACTTTACAGCGTCTGATACATATTGAATGGATCCAATCATTGGCAAGCGGAAAGTTTGGGTGGTGCAATAGTAGTATAGAAAATTCTATGACACTGTGTGTACCGCAAAATTATCTCTTTAGAAATTCTTCTAATATTTTGTGTGATTGATAAATTTTTGAGTCATTGTTATTTTAACATGGAAATCTTCATATATTTAATATCCCTTTTTATATATCTCTTATCATTCTCCTTGATCCCTTTACTCCCACGATGAAACCTTCCCTGCTCTATACTACCCAATATTCTCACCATAAAACACATTTCCCCTCTCATGATTCCCATCTATTCAAGTCGGAAAGGATGCACCTCCAGGTACTCCTCAAACGTCGACGGTCGGCCTCGGGCGTTTTGAACAGACCAGGCAATTGACTCCTCTTGATTTGGGCCAAAGTATCCGAATTCTTCGTTGAAGCTGAACCCATCAACGAAGATATCAGCCAGCACACGAGGCAACCCAAAGCCCACTATGCCCTCCTTAAACTCCTTAACCGAGACCTGCTTATAAACGATCGTCTTTCCCGTATTTTTTGAGAGTATAGCGGCTACTTGCTCCATGGTGTATATTCCAGCAGCACCACAGAACGTCTTCCCCTCGTACTTGTCCGGCTCAGCGAGGATGGCGCCGACGAATTTCCCAGTATCGCCAACAGCGTCGATCAAGGGGAACTTGCTCTGAGGGGAGACGTGGCGGGCTAAAACCCAGGTGCCGTCCGCAGCCTGTTTTGGAGCTAAGAAGAATTGAGACTGGAAATTCTCCATGAATGATGCACCCGCGAAGAAGGCGCTCTTGATGGAGAGGCCGCGAATATACTCCTCGATTTTGGCCTTGGCGTCGAATGGAAAGACATTGGCGTACTTGCCACCAGAAATGTCTTTGATTGCTGTCAGAGTGCTGAAGATGATGTATTGAGCACCGTTCTCAACGGCGACGTCGGCGATGGACTTGCCGACGTTATATTCGTCCTCTAAGGCGTTGGGGCCGAAAGATGGTGTTGTCACAGAGAAAACGGTGTGCACGCCGACTAAGGCTGCCTTGAGGGAGGCCGGGTCATTTATATCACCCTGGACGACTTCGACTTTCCCCTTGAGCTTTGTGGCCTTCTCTGAGTTGACATCGCGGGTGATTGCGCGGATCTTGTATATTTGGGAGAGCTCTGGGTCGTTCAGGACGAAGTTGAGGACGGAACCGCCTTGCTGGCCAGTAGCGCCGAGGATTGCAAGAATATTAGACATTTTGTTTGGTGTTTGAGAGTAAAAGTCTCAGGGTGTTGATTTTATAACTTGAGTCGTTGGAATCACTTGAAGCTTGATGATGCTGATGCTGATGATCCTTTTTAAGAAAGCAGGCACGCTTCCTCTTATTTAAACCCATTTTGAGCCGATAAATGAAGAACTAACTAGATGCTAATCAATAATCAGTACACAATCCTTCTGCATCGTTGCAACGAAATCAAACCCACTCGAGTATTTTGTCATCTTAGACAGCCCACATCGCTCACCGCGGGCCGGCTCATCCCACATCGTTCAGCCCACATGCTGCATTAAACCCCACCCGCCCACATAGCTCATCCCATATCGCTTATCCCGCGTCGTCCCCTACTTCAACCGCCCACATCGCTCGATCCTTCATCCCACATCCCACATCCCACATCCCACATCCTACATGATAAAGAAGGCCGCCTACATGGTGTAACTCGTATTATTCACTGAATTGAGAAGCAATCCTTCAGAGTAGGCCTGAGAGCGGCTCCGTCGAACGGCCTATAAGGTCATATTACCATAATGTTCCAATGTCACCACCCTGAGTGCAGCCGCTCTTACAAACGAAGGGAACACCTCTTGCGCCATCAGAAGGCCCATACCAACCTGCGATCGTTTGCTTGTCAAGTTTGCCCTTCCACTTTCAACCGCAGGTAAGATGTAAAATTTCGAGCAAAATCCCCAAGTATTCCGCCGAAGACGTGCCAACATATTTCCATAGTGACTTGCTCAATCGCCATATCGCCCTGAGCCACAGCAAATCCCCAGTAAACCTCGAACTATCGAGCCCGGCAAGCTTTCTCACACCAGAACCCAAGCAAAATATCGAAAATAATGTACAGACGAAGTCTGACCATGAGCGCAGAGAATTGGCTCTTCGGCGGTTAAGTGACAGCATGATGATTAGTCTTGGAGCAGAATTCGCCCAAGCATCTAACAGAAAGTTACTTGAGCAGCTTTATTTTTCCACGTTACATCTGCATTGGCCCATTTTGCATGAAAGAACCTTTCAGAGCGAGGCTCAACCTGAACAATTAGTACAGGCTGTCTTAGTTGCAGGTTTGTGGATGACAGGTACGGCCAAGGCAAGGCAACAAGCAGAATTCCATCATGACAAGATAGTTGAGATTCAGTGCGGGAATTCCGTAATACAACCCCCTCCAATATCCCCGGCCTATTATAGACCTTGGAACTGATCTATATGACACAGTCACTGCTCGAACAACAGAGTGATATCTTTAATGCACCTCGGCCCGAGTTTCTTCCCTTCTTTCAAGCCATCATGATTTCAACAATCTTATTGACTCATAGGGCAGCAAGTGGCATTCCATCAAATGTAATAGATAATAAGCGCCTCTTGCGGCTCACGGTATACAGCAAACGTCTCTTTCGATTGTTTAGCCATGCTGGAGTATTCGATCAGCAGAGAATTAATGCCGAGAACCCCCTCAACCCGCTCGTGCGAGAACAGTATCAAAGGTGCGCTACTACAGGCGTATTGGCAAGTTCCCATTCTAACATGTCTAGACTCGCTGTTATTCTATTTAAAGCAACGGTTCATCTTAATGCCGTCCTCATTACTCACCTACCAAAGTTCCGTCTCCTTGACTATTTCGATCCTGCGATGCTAAACGTCCGAGTCCCGTCGTCGCAGGAAATATGGAATGCGAGCAGTAAGGATTATTCGCAGGACGTCCACGGCCGTGCCTTAATTGGAAGTTTATTTATTGGTGATACGGACAATCGTACCTACCAAACGTTAACGTCAATATCAGCGTGTGATTTCTCAGCGGGGATGATTCTTGGGTGCTTTAATAAAAGACAGCCTGACGAACCTCTCCTTGACTTAGTGCGCAGAATATCACCATTTCTGGCTTGGCACTTCAACGTCCAAGATAACGAGGAGGTAGAATAGAATATGACGACGAATCATCTTGAGCTCACGAAAAGAGGGTTGAATGCACGTGAATATATCTGTAATATTCAGGGGTAAGATGCACGTTCTTGGGGCAGCAAAAAAAGAGGAAAGACCGCTTTGCATGCGAACTATATGCCGGTTTCCTATGTGCGAATGGGACTTGAACCACGATATGAGAATAACTTCTACATACGACAGTCGAATTTTATAGGAGCCTCGTCGGTAAACTTAGGCAATAGAGTTAGTTCTAGGTAGAATGGCGATGCAGGAGGTAAAGTGCAAGCAGTGATGTAAGTTAAAGGACTTGTTCTATTGTTTAATAGTTTATTTCATACAACCAAAACGTTTCACCTCCTTGATGGTGCATCCCGGAGGAGCCACGGGTTTCCAAGGAGGTCTCTAGCCGTCAACCTGTCTTCTGGCACCCACCGAAGCATTTTGCCGACGAACTCTAAAAACAGCTTTTTTTCTTCTCCTTGTAAAGATGGAGTATTGTCTCCAAGATTGAGATCTGCTAAGGTCGGATCTTTATATAAGAACTTGCCTTCGATGTTGTTAGCAAAGTTGACTGATAATCTTGATATCTCTTACCATGGGAGTCAAAAAATGGACCTCCAAAGTATTCATTGACACTTGTACAAACTCTGCCGTCAGGATTTTCAATAGGAGGCTCCCATTTCCAGCTGCGTGCTTCCATTTCCCGATCAAGAAATTCTTTTAGGGGGGGACCTAGAAGTGCGTGCAACACCGCTAGTAGTAGTATACTACCTATACAGAAAGTCTTATGTGACATACTAATCGAACGGCCTCACGATTATTGATGCGAGTCAAGAGACTCACATGCTCAGACAAGCATAGGGGTGAGTCAATCTAGTGTCTTTATTCCGTCCTAATTTCAGAGCTACTAGGCCAGTGGGCCACTATGTGAGCTTGGTTTAAGACAATCCGCGCCATTGTCGTCCTTTGGCTGGCTGAAGCGAAATTACATTAGATTAGAGGCTCTAATCACCAATATAACGAACTGAAACAACGGCAGATTAGACCTGATTCAATAGTGAATGCCAGCTTACACTTAATGTAGATCAATCAACGGAGCCAGCTGATCCCATCTATTTCACCATAATAACGCATCTTTCCAACAACAAACATAAAGATCTTCTTACTAGATATTCACCACACATCAATCGCTGTCCATCCTTCACCATCGAGTTATCCTCCGAAATTCGAAATCATGAGGCTTCTTCATATCGCAGTCGCAGTTTTCGTGACGTCCGTTATTGCTGTGCGGCAAGGCCCGATCACTAGAGGCTCCGGATCGGCTATGCCCACGACTACAGCTAAGACCTCACCAACATCCGCCAGTTCTAAGACTACCATTATTTCCCAAACAACTTCTGAGGAGTCGTCAGCAGCGCCAACCACAACCACGGTTAGCTCCTGTGAGGAATTTAACACCCAGATGTCTGCGCTCCAAGCACAGAAAGCTATCGATATGGTAAGCGAGCTTTAAGAAGGTACAGGAACTAGTATTGTAAGCTGATGCATGGTGTTGCAGAGAAACTTAAATAGCCCTAGAGGATATACCAAAGCTAATCAGATGGCTGTTAATAACGATAACATCGCCATTGCTCGGCTTGCTCAAAATATGCCGAGAGTAAGTGACCATTAAGTGTACACAAGCTATTGCTCCAAGCCTCTAATATCTAAGCAGGGTTGTTAAGCGACATTAGTCCATGAATCAAGCTATTGTGATGCGAACATTCAAGTTAAACCTAGATGTTTAGAAGTTTTCTAAACATAACAAGGAAGAGTGTTGCGTTAAGGATAAAGGGGCAAATTTTGCTATCGGAAATGTATTTCGCTCATTAAATGTTCGTTAGCTCTTGCTTGGAGAAGTGTTAACTAAGTTAGGACTTAGAATATAGTTTATATTCTTTATTCTATAAGGGGCTGGTTTTTCTATGCTACACTGATGAACCTGTCTTGCTTTAAATCTAGATTCAGCCTGTAAATGACGGATCCACAGCTTCAAAAGAGCGCATAACGGCCATTGTTATTACTAGGTAGCCTATAATAACATTATGTAAGCTAGTCTTGAGAATTTCCTCTCAAATAACACCGCTTTCTGCCTGCCATTCCATGACTAACCCCCTAGGCAGATTCAGAAATTGACCAACCGTTTCGCGTTTTTAGGCGCTCTTAGGCCGCTTCGGCGGTCGTCGAAGGTGGAGATGGACGTGCCCAGTGGCAGTGAAAGTAAAAGCAGCAATGGCCTAAGAGCGGGAACATGGAAGCGGAAGGCTGACAACAGGGGACGGTTTTGGTGGTGGTCTTGGCAGCAAAAGCGATAGCAGCTTAAGGAGAACTGGGCATCCTGTCCGCTCTGCGATACATAACCTCGAGATCGGTAGGTTACTAGTCGGGTGGATGGCCACCAGCTAAAACCTACTCTTGTATGTTTGTGTAATTTTTTTTATAACTATCTATTAGTGTCTAGTGTAATTCTAACAACAATGTCCTTCAAGATCTAATTAAACAAGCTGTATAAACCGAGACTGCAATAATCACCCTATTCGGTGATAAACACTAGACTCTTGACGCTTCTATCACCAAGCCCCATTCTCACACAAGTTGCCTCATACACTTAACACCCCCACCAACGCCAATCCAACAACCAACGCCCCGCCCAGCGACAAGTTCCTCGCCGGCCCCGCATCGCTGAAGTTCCCCGCCTCGTCCCTCGTCCCCGTACACCCAAAGTTGATATTCGATTTCTTCAGACACTCATACATGGCCTTTTCGGCCACAAAATCGCCGGCCATGCAGTATTGGAAGCATGGTTTATCATCGTCGTAGATCTCAGGTTTGGCATTGCTACAGCATGTTGAGAAGGTTGCGTTGTGGTTGGCGATGGTGGAGTAGAGGGAGGAAAAGCAGGAGGGTCCGCTAGGGGGGTTGATCTATGGAGGTTAGTTGAGGGAGAGATGAGTGAGATGGGAAGACGAACGGCGCCATTGATATATTTTTGGCAGACATTGGGGACGTTTGCGCTGTAGATGGTTTCGTTTGCGTTCATTTTGAGGGATGTGAGTAGCACTGTTCTATTGTAATACAGGGATGGATATTACAGGATAGTTCAACAATGGGCGAGACCTGTCATATAAGTAGCAAAGCTCACATTTAATTCTAAACATAGCGACGTTTGTTAATGCTTGCCCTGGTTTCCTTGTCAAGGTATGCTTATGGGAATCCTTCGTATTGTGAATCCTTCCCACACATACAGCATCTGTTCTTGGCGCCGAGAAAGCGCCCCATATCCCAAATTGGAATAATTATGGGTAATTTTCATAGGGCGCATGGTAGTTTTATACGTCATTGCGCTGGGATTTGATCGAGCTGACATTTTTAGTGTTGACGATCACCAACGCCGTGGGTTAGAAAACTGGCTGAGATCCATGCCGGGGCCCATCTTTCTCCCTTGGAGTACTGATAATCGCCAGTAGCGATTTTATAAGTGGAACACGGTGACCGGAGTTCCGGTAACGTCGGTGTTAGATGGTTTACCTGGTGCCAACGAACTCGGGCCGCCAGAGAGCATGAAATGGGGCTGTTTGGGGGTGAGAGCCGATACCCCCATTAAAGCTGATAGAAATCATTATTTTAGCTGCCTTTAGCGTAGCTAACCTAGATAGCTTCAGCCCTATATGATTAAGAGAATGTGTTTTGCCTACATTGCTGTGCCGTTATAGACAGCCCTCTCCAGATTTTGGGCGGCATAAGTACACGACGCTTGAGTTGAAGTTGAATCTTTCATTGTATGTTCGTCGCCCATAATGTAGGGTGATGCAGAAATCGCATATAAAACAAGTGTAATGAGAAGAATTGAGTCGTGATAACACATTCTACTTGACAGGTATAGCTGTAGGCGTTGTGTCAAGCTCCAAGGCCATCTTAGAAATCACCGTACCCTGGTGGGATCATAAATTGCACAGGCATATCTAATTGCCCAATGCGAATCGCATACCCTTTCAAATGAGCGCTCTGCTGTAAAGACGTCAAATTGGATGCGGGAAGTTCTCGCCAAGCGTGAAGCCATTCGTGTCGCTCTTGGGGAGATAATTGCTGCCCAGGGTTCATAGGTTTGTACTTCGTCGCAAAGTACAGAAAAGCAGAAATAGCTATGCAACACTTTTGCATCTGCGGGCCGAGATTGCGAACCATGTCATCAACCGGTATCATAATATCTGACTCGATCAATTCGCGGAGCCGGTCGGGTTCTACATGTGGACTAGGTATCATTTTGCCGTCCAACGACAGGTGTAGCTTCCTCAGGTGCGGAAATAGCCTCGGCAAGTCCTTTAGAAAGTTGTTAAAGGCTGAGACTCCGTAAAGCGATGGTTCATACGGTTCACTGTCAAAAGGGTTGCACGTCCAACGAATTCTCACTGATGTTATACTGGCGAGTCGTTTAGGGAGGAGCACATTTGGTAGTAGTCGAGGTAAGACGGGGCCAGCCATGTGTATTGTACCCGGTCCGTATCGCACATCTTGTAGCTGCTGAAGCAAGGGATTACCAGTCATGTATACTGTATTCGTTCCGTAGAGCACATCGATGCACTCGGCGTAACTAATAAGACGAAAAAGAGTCAGTACTGATCTGATATGATTAATATGAAATGAAGCACTAACGCCAGGCGGCATGATAACAACCAGCCCATAACCCCAACTGGGCGGACACCAATGCTGGTATGGAATATTTCACAACAATCCGTCATGCCCGGGAAGCAGCTATCGTCACCAATTTCACGCTCCACCAGATCCGGAGCCGGGGCGTGCGAGCTGCGATAGCACTCGCCACTCAACCACTGCCATTTTTTCCTTTGGGCCCTTACAATTCCCCATCGGGGCTCTGGTGGGGGGATCCGGGCGCCGCCAACTCTTTGTGTGCGGTTCGGTTGGCGCTCACTGAGTGGTTTCATCGGGTAGTCGAAATAGAGATCCATGTGGATGGTCCTGTCACCAAAGGCTTCTCTTAGGATCTTGAGCCGTATCTCAGGCGGGAGCTTCTGGAAGAAGGCGCTGTTTGCTGTCGCAGAAGCAGCGGATTCGACGAGTGACTCTCGAGAAGGTGAAGGAGTGAGAATGCGGGGCCGGGTCTGAGGAAGGGCAGGGTGTGACGGGTCATCTGCCTTGGTAGCTACGTCCCAGAGGTTCCCAAGCACCCTAGCCCATTCAAAAGTTGGGCCGATCATTTTGTCTCTTTGGGTTTTAAATAAATCAGTGTTAGGTTGCTCGCCCGAAGGCATTCATCCATCGTCGCAGTGGTGTGGAGGGGTGTGGCACAGGTGCCTGTTAACATATGGTCCACTTTTTAAGGTTTGACTTCAGGGTTCACCCGCACGGTTAAGATCGACAACGTGGCTGGAGTGGTGTGGCGCAACAAGAAACAGTCGTATCATATCTGGTGAGTATCATCACAGTACTCGTAGTCTAGCTATTTTAGTTGCTCACACAGTTCTTTCTTCCAATTTAAATATAAATTTATTGGCTTACTTCCATCTAATAGCGTAACCGCAATAATGGCTATTCTTCCTTGTTGCCACGAGCAAGACTACCAAGCCATCGATAACAGCAATAATGGCTATTCTTCCTTGTTGCCACGAGCAAGACTACCAAGCCATCGATAACAGCGAAAACGCAGACAAACTATCACTTGAAGAGGATCGAATATCACCCCAACCATCTCAATCCCACCTGCCTCCGCCAAGTTCGCAAGACGCACCTCGCCAGGTACCATCAGAAATAAAGGCGGAATTTGATGAAATTCAAATTGACTGGCCAGTTCACGATGAAAAGTTCTTGCAGGATTGTCTTATACCAGCGCTCTACCTATTATTTCTATCTGCAGTCGCTTCTGGAGTCATATACGTATTTGGAATCGGGACTCGATTTAGGGAGTGTTCTTACATGCTTATGGCTCCATATGTCTAAGTTGTGGGTACCATGGGTGTCATACGATAATTAATGCAAGTACTCAACTATTTTTAAAAATAATATATATTCACATGAATACTAATAATTTATAGTAATCGAAGCAACTGCAAATTTGGAAACTGCTGAGTCTTCCAAGAAGCGCTATTATTTTAACTTTTATGTTAAGTGCGGAAGAAATATTAGGAGAGCAATTTGTTTAGTTATTTTGGTCAACGATGAACCTTGGGAACAGCGAAGGTGGCTAGAAACGGAAACTAGGGTTAGATCTCTTCACTGTGTAAAAGTTGAGGAGGCACAAACAGCAGATGAAGACATCAACATTCACGCCCGTGTTCTGGACTTAGAATTGAACATGTTTCATATCTCATTTATATATTCTATATGGTATATACATCTTCCTGCGAGCCCTTAAATGTTTGAGTAGGTGACAGCTCCTTCATGATCTGCTCATAAACCGCCCATTGTGCGGCATTAACGACAAAAGCTCGCACACTGCAAACTCCCAACCCACGGAAGAACACAGCTGCGCCTTCCTCTCTATAAATCCGTCTAGCCATCTCTATAGCACCTATTCGACCTTGCTTCACCACGGCCACTCTCGCTGCACCAAGCAGCGGCGACCTCTCAGTGGCAGAAAGCGTCTGTGTCTGCACCCTCGTCTTGATAACATCAAGAGGAAAAACACTAGCCCATGTCACGACGCCCGCAATACCTCCGCACAGGAGTGATTTTGCCGCCTCAGCTTGTTGCGAGCTATCTTCTCCCATTTGTGCTGCTAATATCCTCTTACCAAGCTCATATGACCAAAAATAGAACCCGTATCCAATGCTGTCTCGTAGCGCCGTCACTGTCCCGCCATAATACAAACCCTTGATGCCTTCGGACCTGATGACCGAGCGTGCCAGCGCGAAAGAGGAGATGGGAGTATTCGATACCTGTGCGCGGCACTTGATCAGCTCCGTGGGCGAGCTAACCACCCAAGATGCCAATCCTCCTACTGCACCGGCAATAAATGTGGTGTATAGATTTGTGGCTGGTCCCGGAGATTCGGGGTTGTAGCCGGGGTTTAGAAAGGCGGTGGTGCGGTTGTATGTCATGAACAGCAGCGCATTGAGAGCGCCATATCCGAGAATTGGAGCGGTGGCGCCCCGGATTAAGGAGGAGGTGCTGTTGAATTGTGACGCGTATGTTGAGGGGTGTGTGGCAGTGATAGCGGTTTGAGGGGAGGATTGGAGGCGGACTTTGATGAGGTCCAGCGGGTTGCCAATGAGGATCCCAACGGCGCCGGAGATGTACCCGGCCCAGAAGTCAGCGGACATCGCGTGCTTTATTTAAAGCTCTCTAGATTGATCGAACTAATGGCCGACGGAACTCCGTTTATGCTTGGCCCTCCTACGATCCTTTGGTCTCCATGTGTGGTTCCTGGCGACCAAGTTAGGCGTGGAACGGGCTTGTCGGTGGACTCGGTTTTATTGCTTCGTAGTGGGCACACAGGCCTGCCAGGTGCCTCTGAATTAGCAATATTCGAACCCAAAAACCAACGCCTTTGTCGCCTCTATCTTAGCTTGTTATTGCGCTCACCGTGCCATCGTCATGATGTGGCGGGGTATTTCTCTCGGCATATCCGCCGCCCCTCATGAGCAGAGGACTGCCGTGATTGGATGGGATAGACATGTTAGTGGGGCAGGCCTGGGGGTTCTGATAAAGAGGTGCAAGTATACGTGAAATATCCGTAGAAAATCAGATTTTGGAGCTGAAAGACAAATTATAAGAATCGAAATAGATTTGAAGTTTAGAGATTGTTCGAAAGACAGTGCGTTACCCTGCATATGTTTGTTGTCAAGCTGCATTTTCTGTAGTGTGATGTTGCATAGGCACAGACTCAGATGTAGCCAGGAACCAGCGATCCACGTGACATCGCGATGAGACCGTGATGACCAAGTCGCGGTATGGTCAGTCTGATATGTAATAACACCAATCAACGACGCGTCGAGTACCACAACTACGATTGAACTCGACAACCATCTTCAAGGCACGTACAGCTTTGAAGCGTTCTGAAGAGCAATGTAAGTGCCATTATTCGGTCGGCTCCCCACGTCATCTAATAAGTCAAAGGACGATTAAGTCTACAACCGCGAGCGATGACAAGGAAAACGCGTCGACACCAAAAAGTGCAGCTCCTAAACGTCTGTATGGCGGAACACCACAGTCTGTAGATAGGCTAATTCGACCATTTAAATGCCCCGGCTCGGCTGTTGCAACTCGAGTTTCGGAGAAACCAACGCGGAAACGACGAAAGGTTGACTATGGAGGAGCAGATGGCGAGAAGGAGGACGGAGAGAAGCCGTGGACAAACGAAGACCGCCTTGCGCTAGCAAACCGGGACGTCAACAAATTCCCAGTCTTTCAAGTTAAAGATAAGGATACAATGTTTCGACAGCGTTTCGCGGTTCCATTGATCAATAAAGATGTTGGTGGTTATAATCCTAATCGCCCGCCACCGACGCTAGGCCTGAGGCAAGGAGCAGTTTTCATTGCAAAGCCACTACATGATCCAGCGGGAGAGTTTGCGATTGTGCTATACGATCCTACAATCGACGGTGTACCAAAAACGATTGAAGAAGCCAAGAAAATCGAGAGCAGCCAAGAAGTGGTAAAAGTGGACGAGCCCATCATCCACAAGAGTCTGGCAGATATTCTTGGTATCAAGAAGAAAGTCGAGGGAGAAAGGCCGAAAGTACCGGTAGTCATAGATCCAAGGCTTGCCAAAGTTCTTCGACCGCATCAAATCGAGGGTGTTAAGTTTATGTACAAGTGTGTGACAGGCATGATCGACGACAGGGCAAATGGTTGTATTATGGCCGACGAAATGGGACTTGGGAAAACACTGCAGTGTATCACGTTGATGTGGACGCTACTGAAACAGTCAACGAATGCTGGAAAGCCGACGATACAAAAGGCCATTATTGCTTGCCCTTCGAGTTTGGTCCAGAATTGGGCTAACGAATTGGTGAAATGGCTTGGAAAAGACGCCATTGTGCCATTCGCTATTGATGGCAAAGCCAGCAAAGAAGAGCTTACGCAGCAGTTAAGGCAGTGGGCTATTGCCAGCGGCCGGGCTGTGACAAGGCCTGTCATTATTGTGTCCTACGAGACACTCCGTCTTAATGTCGATGAGCTCAAAAATACCCAGATTGGGCTTATGCTGTGCGACGAAGGTCACCGACTGAAGAACGGTGACAGCCAGACATTTACTGCGCTCAACAACCTGAACGTTTCTAGGCGAGTCATTCTGTCAGGGACACCTATACAAAACGACTTATCAGAATACTTTTCGCTGGTCAGCTTCGCGAACCCAGACTTGCTCGGCACACGGCTCGAGTTTAGGAAGAAATACGAGCTTCCTATCCTTAAGGGACGAGATGCCGCGGGTACTGACAAAGACCGCGAGAGGGGCGACGATTGTCTTCGCGAACTGCTGGGTGTTGTCAACAAATTCATCATTCGCCGGACGAACGATATTCTGTCAAAATACCTGCCAGTTAAGTACGAGCATGTTGTCTTCTGTGGCCTCGCGCCATTCCAACTGGACCTCTACAACTATTTCATCACAAGCCCTGAAATCAAGGCTCTTCTCAGAGGCAAAGGAAGCCAGCCCCTCAAGGCTATTGGCATGCTCAAAAAGCTCTGCAACCACCCTGACCTTCTCAACCTCTCTGATGACCTTCCAGGATGTGAACAATACTTCCCAGAGGACTATGTTCCAAAAGACGCCAGGGGCCGTGACCGAGACGTTAAGCCCTGGTACTCAGGGAAAATGCAAGTCCTCGACCGTATGCTAGCACGCATCCGACAAGACACGAATGACAAGATTGTCCTCATCAGTAACTACACCCAAACCCTCGACATATTCGACAAGCTATGTCGTTCCCGCGGCTACGGCTCCCTCCGTCTCGATGGCACCATGAACGTATCCAAGCGCCAAAAACTAGTCGACAAATTCAACGACCCGGACGGCCCCGAGTTCGTCTTCCTCCTCAGCTCCAAAGCCGGTGGGTGCGGTCTCAACCTCATCGGCGCCAACCGTCTCGTCCTCTTCGACCCCGACTGGAACCCCGCAGCCGACCAACAGGCGCTGGCAAGAGTCTGGCGTGACGGGCAGAAGAAAGACTGTTTCGTGTACCGCTTCATCGCCACCGGCACTATCGAGGAGAAGATCTTCCAGCGCCAGAGTCACAAGCAGTCCTTATCGTCATGTGTCGTTGACTCGGCGGAGGATGTGGAGAGGCATTTCACGCTTGATAGTTTGAGGGAGCTGTTCCAGTACCATGGCAAGACGACGAGTGATACGCATGACACGTTTAAGTGTAAGCGGTGTAAGCCGGATGGGAAGCAGTTTTTGAAGGCGCCGGCGATGCTGTATGGTGATACCAGTACGTGGAATCATTTTGTGAATGCGGGGATTGAGAAGATTCAGGATTTGCTGCTGAGGCAGGAGTTTGGGGAGAAGGATGTTAGTGCGGTGTTTCAGTATATTTCGCATTAGAATGTGCAGCTTGGTTTTTTGGGATGTTGTTGGAAGAGCCGGAATTTGTTATCAGCGGGGCGTTTGAGGGGCGGTTGAAAGGGGGAAGCGTATATTTTAGATAGAGGGGTGTCTGATTGACTTAATGCAAATGAGAATGATGAAATATAAGAGAATATGGACATATCAAGCACACGATGCAATAAGCTGTAGAGTAAAATGTGTCTTCGTTATGACTTCCGTGTAGACAGTGCTATCAATTATATAGGGTATCCTAAAGTCTCTACAGATGGTGTTACAGTATGTTACAATTATATGTTCTTACAAGGCCCAACTAGGCATCATTGCTACCGCAGCAATTAAAATGACCAGACATCTATTCCTCTCTGTCAAGCGTATCCCTAATCCTCGTCTGCCACGACCTGAACCTCCCAGGCGCAAACTCATTCATCGTCCACAACAAATGAATCGGCGTCCTCTGCGCCTTCTGCTCCCTTGAAAACAAATACCTAGCCTGCATCTGCTGGATATCAGTGACGACATCCAATGTCTCCTCATCAAGCTCTAATCCCGATTCCTCCATCTCTTCGAGCAGTTTAATGACACCGCTGAAATCGTCGTACTGGAACCAGTAGATCCGCAGAAGCTCATTGTATAATGCCGTCGTTCCACCGAGAACGTGGGACACGAGACCTAGAGATTTGATTCGGGGTAGCACGTTACATGCTAGAGGCGAATGTTTTGCGAATGAGTGGTGGAGGAGACGTAGTCCGTAGAGGAGGTATGAGGCGTACAGCGGGAAATAGAGGTTTATATCCAGAGGCTCGGGCGCTGGCGTCACTCCCGTAGGTTCCTCTGCCGTCATCTCTACCGCCTTCTTGGAAGATTTGCGACCCTTCTTCTTAAGAGGTGGTGGAACTGGGGCCTTTCTTTCCTCGAGTCCGAGACGTGGGATGAGACTGAAGACTTCCTTCTCCATGACTGCCCAAAGAGCTATATCTGTTGGTGCAGCGCGCATTGCGGCTTCCACTCTTTCTTGCTCCTGTTGTCTGAACTCTTTGTATTTGTCAATCGGTTTTTCTTGCGGGGGTTGGTTCGTTCGAGAAGGTTTTCCTTCCAGGCCAAGCGCTCGTGCGGCAACGGCTCGGAGGGCTATGGGGTACTGTTTCAATGTATCGAGGTTTTTCTCGCGGGGTTGGCTTGTGAAGAGGGTGTTTTGTGGAAGGCGCACAGCCTCTTCCATGATTGAGTGGAGTTTCTCTCTTGCGTTCTCCTTGTTGACCTCAGATAGGTCGACCAGCGATTGTTCCTGAGGTCTGGTGCTCTGCGAACGAGCGTAGATATCGGAAAAGATGCGCTGGAAGGTGTCCCGTTCTTCTAGTGTTATCGTAGACTCTCCCGGCTTCCTGGCCGATGGGATAGTGAAGTCGGGTTCGCCCTCGTATTCCGAGAACATATCTTCTTCTTCTGCAAATGGGTCGTAGGACTGGGCCATGTCGAATTGGATATCATCGGCCTCAGACACTGCATCGGTTGTTACTTGATCTGTTCGTCGGCCAAAAGATGGTGAGTCCCATGGAACATCCTCCTCCTCCTCCTCGACTTTGTTGGACTTGCGGTCTACAATGTATCTCCTAATCAACGGTCTGTCTTGTGATATAGGAGTCTCGGTACTCGAAGGGGTGGCGGCGTCAGGGTCCTCTTTGTCACTCCAAAGGGTCCTGCTGACCCTCATACAAGAGCTACCGGAGCTATGGAATAACTGGGATCGACTTGGACGAGAAAGTATGAGTCTCAGTGCCGGTTGTCGCATTGGCTTCCTGCTGCTGCACAGCGTCCTGGTCTGGTATAGGAATGGCATTGAAGTCGCCGCTGAATGAATAGCCCTTGCGCCTTGGGAGGATATGTTGGAGGCCATGGTTTTGGTCGGCCTAGCAGGTAGAATACTGCTCAAGGATACGGCGTTAATTCATCAGCGTCCGAGCTGTACTTCAAGAATTCGAGTGGCCGTGTCTGGGCTGATGAATTTGGGACAACTTTTTTGGAGCCTCTTTGTACGGAGGTCCGACGTCACTTAATTTACCAATAGCGCAGTCACGTTCCTACGCGAAGACGCGGCGCGGCGGCGCGCCAAAGTCATCTACACCATTGCGCCTGAACTCGCGCCATATACATCGATGCGCGCGCATTCGTGAGACGACATAAATTTGTACAGATATTCGAATTGAGAGACCATTATCGCCATCATGGTTAAAAAGGAATCCGAAGATTCTACTGCCACCGAGGCCAAAATGGAACCCAAAGATTCCAAAATGAGCGCCTTTGAGCGCAAGAGACTCGAGAATATCGCGGCGAACCAGGCTATAATGAAAGATTTGAGCACAACAGCAAAGAAAATCATACCGAAGACAGCAGCTCCCAAGCCACCTCGATCGAAAACACCAAGGAAACGAGAACCGCCTGTAAAAAGAGAGGCTACAAGGCCAACGAGAACCAGTTCGCGGATTGCTGGACTGGAAGCCGACGGCGAGGGAGCCAAGAGGAAATTTGAGGAAGAATTCCAATTCGCACAGGATGACGCCAAGGCGAAGAAAATGAGAGTAGCGGGAGACCTCAATTTAAGTGATATTGCGGTGGAGGGCAAGAAATGGACCAATGACGACAATTTCCTGTCTTCAATCATGAGAGGGGCACAACCATATGAGAGGACGTTTGACGATAGTGATATCAAAACTACGACGGATCAGGAGCTAAAATCTCTAAGAGAAAAAATGAGTGGGCTTGAGTTATACAAAACCTGGGAGCCAAATGGTGAGAACGGCCCATTGTGTCTTTATATTGCTTTAGTACTGACAGTAATTCAGATATTAAAATCACACCTGAGCGCATATACTCTATGGGTTTTCACCCCACCCATGACAAGCCGCTTATATTCGCGGGGGATAAGATTGGAAATCTTGGTCTATTCGATGCATCTCAGAAGGGAGAGGTGGATGATGATGGCGATCAAGTTGAAGGGCCAGTGATAACAGCATTCAAGCTTCATGCCCGGACGATAACATCTCTCCTATTCCCTCCGAATCACACAGAGCTGTATTCCGGCTCCTACGACTCCTCTATTCGGAAACTCGATCTTCAGAAGCAAGTCGCTGTCGAGGCCTATGCGCCACTGTCGATGGACGATGACGAAGCAATTTCTGCTATCGACATGAACTCTAACGACCCTAACCTGATTTACTTCTCGAGATTAGACGGGGCGTTTGGTAGACATGATATGAGAACCCAGAAAGATACCGAAATATGGTACGTATCTGAGAAGAAGGTGGGCGGATTCTCATTGCATCCGCTTCACCCCCATCTCGTGGCTACCGCCTCCCTGGACAGGACGCTGAAGATCTGGGATCTGCGGAAATCTACTGGAAAGGGGGAAACCAGACAACCCGGGCTTCTAGGCGAACATACTTCACGCCTATCGGTGTCTCATGCGGCATGGTCGTCCTCTGGCCATGTGGCCACCAGCTCATACGACGACACAATCAAAATCCACTCCTGTACGAAAGCAAAGACCTGGGGAATCGGACACACAATCTCGGAAGAGGATATGGAGCCATCGGCTGTGATTAGACACAACAATCAGACTGGGCGATGGGTCACGATCCTGAAAGCGCAGTGGCAACAAAGGCCGGATGATGGGATCGCAAAGTTTGTGATTGGCAACATGAATCGGTTTGTCGACATATACACGAGTGAGGGAGAGCAGCTGGCGCAACTTGGTGGCGATGGGATTTCTGCCGTCCCTGCGGCGGCTGAGTTCCATCCGACTAGGAACTGGGTCGCAGGTGGAACTGCCAGTGGTAAGCTGTGCCTGTGGATGTGAATCATCGTCATTGGGTTAGGGTTATGATGGCGTTATGACAGGCGCGTGCTTCTTTGGCAGTGTAGGACACCAGTTTGGCACTGGGTGTTAACAATGTGGCAACATTTTGTTGGGACTATGTCTGGCTTTTGCAGAGAGTACTATACAACGGGACTGTGGGGTCTCAGGTGAGACCATTTTGTCTCTGTTCAAAGGATGCATAAATAGGGTCTTGTTGTACATAAAACAACACTGATAATCATTGAGAATAATCTCCGAATCATTCTGCTTTGTGTATCAAACCGACAAGACAAACCGCGGGTATGATTCACTGCTCAACTTGTTTGATTTCGTCAAATCGGGGTTTGTCGTTGGGGATAGGTGGGATGGATGTGCCTGGCCCGTTCTACCGCTAAACTGAGTGACGTCTTAGGCGTGGGGCGTGGGCAACTCCGTTAGTGGCCGTCCAATATAGTAACCCGTTTTCATGTATGTACATACGGTGCCTATCTGTGCCTTACTCTACATATCTCTAGCGTGCTCAAGGCTACCTTCTCCCCATGACTGCACCTTGAGATCCTCAGACCTCTTTAACTGCCTTTGAACCATTGTTTGACTCGATCGCCGTTGGATTTGAGCTTCAGTTGGTCGAAACTCATTGTTCAGAGAGTCATACTTGGCAAGCACATGTGATCCTCGTTTCCTTCGTTAGATAGACGACAACCTGAGGGGCTTATCGCAATCGGTACCAGTGCCCCGACTCAAATAATCACAACCACCCGTGCGGCCCCGTTGCCACTGATCAAACCCACGCCATCTTTGTCTGGGAACCCCAGATAAGCGTGCAAGAATCATGATACGATCCCACGAAGATATCAAGAAGCGGGTAGGGCGGAAGTTGACCAAGAAGCGGAGGGAAGACCGCAGGGTCACCATGGAGATCCCGCAGCGCTTTGAGGATGGCGATGACGCAGACGAGGACTGCACGGCTCCCAAGGGACAGAATGGGTTGATTAACCAGTCTGTATTTGGGATGATTGCAGCTGCAGGTTCGCAAGCCGACTTCCATGCGAGATTCGACGGCCAGGATAGCGATGATGAGGAGGACGAGACGACGGAACCGGAAGACGCCTCCAGGCCGTCTGAGGCTTCTTCCGACACTGTCACGACCAAACTTCCTACAGATGAGCGTATATCACGACATAGATTTCATAGACGCAAACTTTCTGATAATAAGCTGCTACGATCCTTATCGCAACTCGGCATCAAGAACAGAAGCAAGCATTCACAGCTATCGTCAGCTTCAAGCGATCCGGTCACGCCGGAAAAGGCCAAGGATACTGAAAGAGATCATATAACGCGGTCGCCCTTTAAGGGCCCTCCTATAATGAGCCAGATGCTGGAAGCAAAGGCGGCCGCGGTGCAGCGGGCAAGCTTTGATTCAAGGCGATCAGAGTTCATATCAGGGCAATCGGATGGCGGCGCGGATGGCGTTGAAGGCTCCCCGAGCGACCTCGCGATACGGTTGATGGAGATTTTCGAATTCGAGAGCCCCGAGTTGGTTATTGATGGTAAATACATTGCCTTCCTTTCTTAGACCCGTGTAGCTAATCCATAGCAGAATATCCTTGCTGGCTTATGAAGAGCGTACTGCTTCAAGGGTACATGTATCTTACCGAGAAGCACATCTGCTTCTATGCATACCTCCCTAAGAAATCGGTATGAATGGCTCCCTACTCGTACTTTATTATGATTCACTAATAGCATGGTAGAACGAGATTGTTAAGTCGGGATACTTAAGCAAACGTGGACTCAAAAACCCAAAGTATAACCGCTACTGGTTCAACCTGCAAGGCGATGTGCTGTCGTATTATACTGATCCTTCTGACAAGTACTTCCCATCGGGAAATATCGATCTCAGATATGGTATATCTGCTAGCGTTGTAGACAAAGAGAAGACGTTCTTTGAAGTTATAACCAATCATCGGAGATATCAATTTCACGCCGACAGCATACCGAGCGCCAAGGAATGGGTGAAGGCACTTCAGAAGATTATCTTCCGTTCTCATAATGATGGGGATAGCGTCAAAATCTCATTGCCGATTGAGAATGTGATCGACGTGGAAGACAGCCCGGTGATTGAATTCGCGGAGACCTGCAAGATTCGAGTAATCGACAACGATGAGACATACGCTATTGATGAGGTATGTTTACGCCTCCTAGGCTATAATGAGACCATATGCTGACTTTAGACTAGTACTTCTTCTCGTTTTTCAGCTTTGGAAAGCAAGCATTAAGTGTTCTTCGCACTCTCGTGTCGGATTCGGCAGCAAAGCAAATACCAGAAGGCCTGTTGGTACAGCCTCAAGGAAATTCCGGCAGTAATAGCCCTAAGGCAGGTTCATCTAGGCCTAGCCTTGCGATTTCGACAAGAGAGACCAAACCGTATCCAAACCTTGGGAAGGCGACTTCTTCAGGGCTCGAAGAGAGCGTTAAGGCAACGCTAACGCCTCTTATCTCGTCCCCTCTTCACGTACATAGCCCGAGAGCTAGCGGTGATTTTTCTAGAGCAAGCTTTGACATCACCCAGAGAAGTACTAGCCAAACCAGAGCCTCGAGACGCAGTATGGATGTTAGCAGATTCAACTTGGACGGGCAAGGTAGAAACGGGAGCCCCAGCAACGATAGACGGAGCTTCAGTAGGAATCGGGCGTCCGAGAAGAAGAATTCTGAGAAGCAAGATTCGTCCGACTCTTATGTTCATTCGATGGAAGAGTCCTCGGCTGCTGCCCAGTCAGCTAGTGAGGATGCCACAGGGTCTGCTAGTCAGATACTGAGGGGTAGTGAAGGGTTCTTCCAGCCTACTATCCATCGCTCAGCATCTGCATCAAGACGCCGAGATGATGCTCAATTGCCTGGGAGTCCGCTGGTACCAGAGATACCTACGACACTGCCACACGCAGCAACTATGGACGCATATGAACGGCCAAAGCTAACCCAGGCCGATAATGCGTCTTCACCTTCTTTGCAAACCTTAGCTAAAGCTGGTGCATACCCATTGCAGAGGGCTGCTGGCTTTGCTAACTACCTCAACCGCCACTCAAAACGCATGAGCACCCTTCTTGCAACAGAGTCTATGGGATATGTTGAGAAGGTCTCCGGGATGTGGAAAGGGGGGAAGAAACATTACGATGAACCACTAGGCCAGGGGCTAGAAGATGACACAGACGATGAAGGCGGCCAATCTGATGGAGCTGAACATCGCTTTCAAGCCCATTTTGCACTTCCGGCTGGAGAGAAGTTGCAAGCCGCATATTTCGGTTACTTCCACCGAGTATTGCCTCTTTATGGAAAGATTTACATCAGCAATCGCTCGTTTTGCTTTAGAAGCCTTTTACCTGGCTCTCGCACAAAGCTGATTCTGCCACTCAAAGACATTGAGAATGTAGACAAGGAAAAGGGCTTCCGCTTTGGCTATTCTGGACTGGTGGTCGTTGTTAAGGGACATGAGGAACTCTTCTTTGAGTTCAGGCAACCGGATGCAAGAGATGATTGCTGTGTCACTTTGCTTCAAAACCTAGAAACGATTCGCTACCTTAAGGAATCGGGCTTACTAACGCAAGAGGAAGAGGAAAGCGCTGCATGGGCGGTTGCTGAGCATAAGGCTTTGCAAGAAGCACGCCAAGAGTCGCGACAGCATAGCCATGACCTCGAATTGCCAACTACGGCGGAAGGTGCCTCAACTGAGACGGCCCCTATTATGTTCGACGATCCCCGAGCTTCGATATTAAATTTCAAGCCGACCGAGTCACTTCGCATTACTTGTTTAACTATCGGCTCCCGCGGAGATGTCCAACCATACATCGCGCTCTGCAAGGGATTTATAGCAGAAGGACATAGACCAAAGATCGCGACGCATGTTGAATTCAAGGATTGGATTGAGGGCCATGGCATCGAGTTCGCCCCCGTCGGAGGTGATCCGGCCGAACTTATGCGCATCTGCGTTGAGAACGGCATGTTCACATACTCATTCTTGAAAGAAGCCTCCACGAATTTCCGCGGGTGGATCGATGACCTACTTTCTTCGTCTTGGTTAGCTTGCCAGAACTCAGATGTCCTCATCGAGAGCCCTAGCGCCATGGCCGGGATACATATCGCAGAAGCATTAGGGATCCCCTACTTCCGCGCCTTTACGATGCCATGGACTAGAACGCGCGCCTATCCCCATGCCTTTGCTGTGCCAGAGCACAAGATGGGCGGAGCTTACAACTACATCACCTACGTCATGTTCGAGAACGTCTTCTGGAAAGCCATCGCGGGCCAGATAAACAGATGGCGTAAGAAGGAGCTTAGCCTGCCTCGCACCAGTCTGGAGAAGATGCAGCCGAATAAGGTGCCATTCCTGTACAACTTCAGTCCCTCGGTCGTCGTACCACCGCTCGATTACAGTGACTGGATTAGGGTGACGGGATACTGGTTCCTCGACGAAGGCACTGACTACAAGCCACCTAAGGAGCTCTCTGATTTCATCGCTAAGGCTAGGGCTGATGGGAAGAAGCTGGTCTACATTGGATTCGGCTCCATCGTCGTATCCGATTCAGCAGCTCTCACAAAAACGGTTGTGAACTCAGTACTAAAAGCTGATGTCCGTTGCATCCTATCAAAGGGATGGTCCGACAGACTCGACAAGATCGGCGCAACCGAGCCTGAAGTCCTCCCCGAGGAAATCTTGCAGATCAAGTCCGCACCCCACGACTGGCTGTTCACGCAAGTCGATGCCGTAACCCACCACGGCGGTTCCGGAACGACTGGAGCGAGTCTGAGAGCTGGCAAGCCTACGATTATTAAGCCGTTCTTTGGAGACCAGTTTTTCTATGGCGGGCGAGTGGAGGACCTTGGTGTTGGGATTTACCTCCGGAAGCTCAATGTGAGCGTCTTTGCGCGCGCGCTGTGGGAAGCTACGCATAGTGAGCGGATAATTGCCAAGGCGAAATTAATAGGCGAGCAGATCAGAAGCGTGAGTCCCCTCTTCATCCCCTAGTCATTTG